GGTCGACCATTGAGGCCCAGCCATCATTGTTCATTGATCATCATTGCCGTCGGTATATCAAATTCTATACAGTTGCAAGCTGCCATTTTTGAACATGCGTATTTAAAAGGACAATTTTTTTAAATTTAAAAGGACTAACATAATTTGATTCATAAAATGAATATTTAAATGTCTCAACTTTGGTGATTGAAACAGAAAAAATAACCCAGTAATTCAACACAAAACTGAAAAAAATTTCCGATTAAATACTATGTTCCGGGCGATCATTTTTTCTTGTTTATTCTTGACAAAAAAAATGCTTAACCTTTGACATTCTTTAATTTCAATGGCGCCTGTTTACATACGAATAAACAACATATCATATGTAAATAGATCTTTAAGATTTCTCAAAAATTCAGTCAAGATTTGTTACTATTTTGACCTCGTGAAATTTATTGATGTTTTTGGATTCAACACGAATAGATTCTTAAGTTTTTTCTTTCTTTCTTTAAGTGCATCTTCATATAAATTCAAGGCAAATTAATGAATGAAAGTGAACAATCAATGTGAATTTATTATGTTTTGATTGATACAGCAAAAAAAAATGGAGAAACAAAATAAAACTACAGCCAAATCTAACAGGTTAATATGGTCATTTGAAATTCATTGAAAGAAATAAAAATAATCGTAATATCATGGGAACTACCACAGGGCATAAACAAATGAAAAAAAAATCAAAAATTATCTTCTTTCTTGTTTTTTGGTTGACATGTATGATGATTTTACTGGTCATGGTCGTCGATACATCAATCATCTATAAGACATCTTTTGGAAACATATTTGAAATTTATTTAAACATTTCAGTGTTTTTTTGTTTTTAATTTTGTTTGATTTTGATCATTTCGGGAAAAAAACTAATCCAATTCTATCTATCTATCTGCAAGAATTGATAGTGATTTTTTTTGATTTCTCAAAAGAAATTTATTTCTATATGATAAAATTTGAACATTGGTCGTTGATGATGATCATGTTTTGATCTTGTTTTCAATTGTTAGCCTCTTTTTCTTTCTCTCCATTGGATTTGATGATAGAAACAAGCCATGAATGATGATGGCCATGGAAAAACAACAACAAGAATGTAATTTTTTAAATGTATGAATGAATGAATGATGATAAATACCAGAGAAGAGAATTATTGGAGAGAGAAAAGAGAATAAAAAACGAAAACAATTGCTTTTTATTTTAATTTTTTTCCCAATTCATTTCATAGTTCATTTGGACTTATGATGATGGACTAGGAATTCTTGTCCAAAGTTGTTGTTTCGAGGTCGGATGTATGATTGGATAGATAGATGGATGGATGGTTGGATGGTCATCATGAGCAACAGCCCATATCTATAGGGAGAAAAAAAATGATAGGCCATAGACATTGACATACAATGGAGGGTTAAACACTATTCTTTATTCAGCATGCTATAGCAACAGCAGAGAGAGATAGAAGAAAAAAAACTCGAACTTCTACTTGGCTTGTTGTTTTTTTTTCTTCTAAAAGACACGAATGAAGAAAGAGAAAAGAAAGAATTTTGATTTTTTTTTATTCATTTAAGTTTGGTTTTACAAGTTTCTATCAAAGTGGAAAAACTTGTACATACACCCAAAATCTGTCGGCCATTGTGTATTGTTATGTATGTGTGTATTTCCCAATGAAACTTGACTTGATTTTGTTCTGAAAAAAAATAAAAATATGAAGCCGGTGATGATGATAAAATTTTCAAATTCATAGGATGGGAATAAAAAGAAAAGAAAAGGGAAGTGAGAAACGATAAGAATCATTTGATACAAATTTTGATTTCTTAATGTCAATTTTGTTTCTTTTTCGATTCATTCTGAATGAAAATATAGTCCGATTCGATTTTTTTTATTTGATGGATCGGGCATGGATGCGGCCATTTTTTTTTGCCCGATTCTCGATCTAAACATTTATGTATGTGTTCGTGTGCGAGTATATTTCACGGCCATGAAAAAAATACTTGAAATCATATAATCATCATCATCATCATAACAAATGGCAATAACACACACACACACGCACTCAAATCAACTAACCAACCAACCGATTCGTATACTAGGCAGAGGAGAATTTCATTTCATTCACCTTCGATCGATCCATTTTTTTAAATATTAAACTTTTACCATCCAATGGAAAATCTATTTATTTTTTTTTCTCTGTTACAAATTACTATAATTCCTTTTTTTCTGTCTGTTTGTTTGATTGGTGTTAATTTATCGTCTAACCAAACTTATATATTCGTAAAATAAAGGATTCTTATCAAAAAGATTTTAAAGAATAATTCTACTTACTTCATTGATAATAGTTGAGAATTTCGAATGTAAAATGAAATGAGAAAATATCCATTTTTTTTCATACCCCCAAAACACTATCATGTGAATTTGTGTGGTGCTCGTTTGTCTACAGTAACAATCTTTGCCTCTACCATGGATTTTCAAAAAAAAAAAAAATCTTATTCTAATCAAAATAATAATTGATGATGATGATGATAATGGTTACCCCCTTTTTTAAACCTCCCGCCCATCAAACAGTCAACCAACCAGCACCGTCCATAATCAACCACAGTGCAATGTCCTTTTGGTCTAACGCATGCGTCTATCACATGAATAAGATCCACCCTTGATATAATATTTGATGATAATATTAATACCACTACTACATTAAGGACAAGGGTTCTCCCCCTACATAATTGATCGTAATGAAAACCAGAATTGTAAAAAATGAATGAACCAAACCAAAAGCGCGAATATATTTCCAAAAACACGAATTCGAACCATTTGAGAATGGATATTGGAAAGAAAACTTAGTTTTTTTTTTCTTCTCGTTCATTCCAATTCATTCATGCCCACTACCGCTGTCAAAACTGAATGAAGAAAAAATCTGCGCATTTAACAACAGCCATGCAGAAACACCGTGTGTGTGACAGTCCAACCAACAAAATCGTGCTATCGAATCTGTAGTCTGTAACCAACCAACCAAACTAAATACGACGGCAAGACTACAGTAGTGATCGGCTTTTTGGTGATGACGGTGTAAAAGAAAGATCTCGATCATTTTCCGTAAAAATACAGCCGAACTAAATTGTTTATATTTGCCATTATCAAAAAAAATTTCAATCATTGACATTCAATTATCATCAATATTCTGATTAAACAAAAATATTGTCAACATCCATTTAAAAATATTTTCATTTTCTCATACAGTATATCTTCGTGTGTTTATATATGTAAATGTTAAAAACGAACGGAAAAAAATTTGAATTGGAAGATCTTGTACCATTTGAAAATCCTTAACAAATTGATAATATCCCTTTTCTACCCAACAAAATATCTGAATGACCAACGAGAAAAAAACTATCGGTTAGCAACAACAATAACGACGACGACGACAACACGAAAAATTGATTGATAAAAATAGGGAAAGAAAATCCCTTTTTTAATGAAAAAAAGACCTTAGAACCAAATCTACTATCTCAGGATCAATTTGATTGTGAAAACAAGATTTGATCTCACTGTGTTTGTGTATTTACGAATTTACGTGTTTGTATGTGTGTGTGTGTGTGTGTCAATTGTTCAACACTTGGTCAAAAGCCACACCTCAACAGGACCTTCAATCATAGGGCCTAGATCACATTGATTTTGAGTTTTTTTTTACAACCGTCATTTATAATAATAAAAACCCATTATTACGGACACTTTTTTGTCGAAAAAAAATTTATTGAAAATTAAAATTTGCTAAGAAAACCGAAATTTTCTTTCGTCCGTTTTTGATATGATTTTTACAATTTGAACAGCAAAAACAATTGTCAATTCGTTTATGTGCCATTTGTGATTTGGATTTCATTTTATTTTATTATTTTGTATATATCTTTCTACTGAGTGATGAACTTGAAATATCTAAACATTGAAATAAAACAACAACAACAACAATAATAATAATAATATTAAATCAGCATCAAATCCTGATCGTGATATTCTATAGTGATCATTTTATATTATACATTGAATTTCATCATAATTTTTTACCAAATGGCCAAAATCTTTTCAATGTGAGACTGAAACATACAAATACACCACACACAAGGGCAGCTATATTTTGCAATCATCATTTGAAAAAGAAGCAAAAAAAAATTTCAAAACGATCACTGGATTTTACTGGAATCATATTATTTGTTCTCGAGAATATAATAATATTCTAAACATTTTATTTTCGTCTACATTCTTCTCATTTTTTTCTGCTGGTTTGTTTGATTGACGAGGGAAGCAAAAAGGGGGCAAGCCTTTTCTGGATCGATCTATTTCTTTTTCCCTTCGTCTGTGATTATATAAAAAAAATTTCTTCAATTTGGGTTTCCATTTTCGTTAATTTCTTTCATTTACGTCATCATCATCATCATCATTATTATTATTTTTGATTTTAAATCAATCAAAACGATTTCTCCTGTTGCTGATACTGCTATTGGCTTCGATTACTATTTTGAATCATATCGACAAATCAATTTTCTTTTCCATTAGCTGTATAGTGTACGTGTGTGCGTGGTTGTTGCCATCTATGTATAGAAAGGCGCCAAATTCCAACTGGTCATTCTCGATTCAATTTAAAACATCATACTGATTCACGCCGACTCAATGGATCCTGCGCCAAGATGATTCATATGAATTTAATATTGTAATTGTCAGACAGCAAATCAAGAATCATTTCATTTGAAAATATTCAATATTATTATTATTAATCATCGTCAACCACCGGTTTAGTGAAAAAAACACGTGTTTATCATTGAAATCACAAATCAAATAATTTTCATCCATAATAATTATAATCTTAATGGTTGAATGAAAAATTGAATGATCCATAGTGCTAACCAACAAGTTTATCAATTCATTGCACTAATATTGCCTAATAATAATACTTACATGAGTCATCATCTTTGCTGAAAACAAGCCAATTTTCAATTTTTGTGAGGCGCCAAATTTCTGCAGAAATTTCAACATTCATATCATTTAGACTTGAAATTGCCAATCATTTTAAATTCAAATAATATATCTAAATAATGGAATCATCTTCATTATCTGATTTAGATTCTTTAATTATCAATGATAATAATAATAATAATGGTATTGATTCTTGTAACAATATTATGACCACATTATATGATGATGAAGTTATCATTGATATCAATGATAATAATGATAATAATAATATTATCAATGGCCTGACAATCGGTATCAATCCGGAATCACATTTTGGTTCATTAAAAGTATCGGAAGATTCATCGACACCATATACCGATGCTACACGTTGTAAACGTACGGGAAATCATAATCATATCAAAAGGCCAATGAATGCATTTATGGTGTGGTCACAGATTGAGCGACGAAAAATTTGCGTACAACAACCTGAAATACATAATGCAGAAATATCTAAACGTTTGGGTAAACGATGGAAAATGTTGACAGAAGAAGAACGTCGACCATTCATTGCGGAAGCTGAACGTTTACGACTATTACATTTGAAACAATATCCGGATTACAAATATCGACCAAAGAAAAAGCTCAAACCATCATCGACATTGAATCCATCATCTTCCTTATCGTCATCATCATCGAATAATGGCGATATGGATAGCCTTTCTGATTCCGGCCATTCGGATACAAGTCGACGAACAAACAATAGCCACACAATGATGATTAGTGGTCCAACAACAATTCAACAACATCCAACCGCTATAGCAATCGAAACGACTTTATCTAATTGTAATGGAATGATTCTTGCCAACCATAATTCGATAATGGTGAATAATATCGGTGATATTAGTGGATCACGAAAAGCTAAAATTCGGACAATCACTCATAATGCGAATTCTAACAACGCTAAAAGTCTATCTTCTAATATATTGACACTAACAACCACGAATGGTAAACAACCAACAATTGTCAATAAATTCATTGCCATCGATTCGATGCCTTTGTCAACATCGAAAACTATATCCGGTTCAATATCACCCGTATCATCGACTGATGGTAGTTATTGTGGTAATAATAGTAATGTGGACGATCTACTTTTGAATTCAGATGCATCGTTCATTTCGATTGCTGATCATCCACATAAACACCTTGGACTTGCAAAATGTTTACGTAACTCATCAAAATCGTCAACAATTTTTCAATCCAATAATTCAGGCCTCCTAACACCAACATCGACAGCTACATCAGGTTTCGCATCGGATGGTGAACCGGAAATGATCTTTAAACAGACAACAACAACCGATAGCTTACCACAACAATTCATGATTGATTCATTCATTGAAAACGATTTGATTGGCTCGAATCGAACAAAACAAGGTATCAATATAGATTGTATTAGCCACCATCAAGTTGAACAACAATCCAATATGAATGCATTGCTGTCATCATCATCAGTAATGGCATCGCCACCATCTTCGACTACTTCCATCAACGATCTCGATGATTTTTGTGATGTTTTCAATCTTAACAATAACAATAACAATGGTGATCCATGGTCTTGTTATTCATCAACAACGGCATCAACAACAAATGGAAGCAATCATCAAATGTCAAATAATAGTGGCCTTATATTTGGTCATTTGGATTCCTCATTCGATTCATTACAAACATCGGCAACACAATCGACCAACATTAGTGCATCGACAACAGCCTCTGGTAGCAGTAATTCATCGGGTTCTCATTTTGAATTTCCCGATTATGATGGACTTGAAGTGAAAAACATTTTTATCGATGATGATTGCTGGAACGATAAAACATTGTTATCAAATTTTCATTAACTTATGACAATGATATTTATCTCTCTCAGTCTTGATACTTTTGAATCTTTTCATTTGCTGAAAAAAAATCATTTCAACCTTCGAAAAATTAACCTTCACATCCGGTAACTCACTCACTCCATCCATTCATTTTACGACTTGATGATAGTCATCAGTGTCGCCAATCAACCAATCTCTTTTTTTTCTCCTTATCAACAATCTCTTTCGACAAGCGCACATAACAAACCCGTTACCTCGTTCTTTAATATCCTTTTCTATTGAACCGACTTATTTTACACACCTACAGATCTAACCTACCTATCGAATGATTGACCATCTAACATCACTCCATTATCATCAAAAAAAAACAAAAATTTTAACTGAAAAATCCATCCGTCGCATTTATTTTAACCAACAAAGAAGTCAATAATCCTATTTTCTACAAAACTAAAAAAAATTCCAGACAAATTAAATTGAATTCAAGCTAATTTTTCAACGATTTCTTCAAAATTTTCAAAAAACAAAAAAAATTCATCACCATCATCATCCCGCTTCATCATTTCATTCTATTTCACAATTACGTCAACGATCAACTCACAAACAAAAAAAAAACATTCGAATTTTCTTTATTGTCAATTATGATTCCGATCTAAATGTTTTTTTATCTTTCATTAATCTTTTCTCATACTCTGTATTGATAAATACTTAAAATGTGTTGTCGTTAGGTTTACGTTCGTTATTTTCTTCTTATTCTCAACACAAACGAATGTATTTCACGGGTGTGTGTGTATGTGTGTAATTGTCATCGTTTTTTTCTCGCTTTGAATCGAATTATTTTATCTTTTCTTCTTTTTTTAATTATTAAATAATTTTGTTTTTTTTTATTTTTCAATTAAAAGGATTCTGTAATTTTCTTTTTCGGGTTCTCTAGTTTTTTTTACAATTTCTTGCTTCGATTCGATTTTATTAACTGATTTTTTTCTCTCCTACTATACATACATACAAACAATTGATAAATAAAAAAAAAGAAAATTAGATTGATTAACTAACTATAGACAACTGATCAATGTAATAATAATTTATAATGAATTACAAATGTCATCATCATCATCATCATCTTCATCATTAATAATTGGTGTTGAATACATTGAACAACATTGCATTTTCTTTTTCTTTTCTTTTTTCTAACGAAATTAATTTCATACCGCTCCTTTTCTTCAGAATTCGATTCGATTCGATCTCCACCCACATACATTTTCATCAATCATTTTATCATCTTTTCATAGATTTTTATCTACAACAAAAAAAACAGGCATTACCAAATTGTGAAAACAAAACAACAAAATAAAAATCAAATATTAATTCTATTCGTAACTAACAAAGCAGCAGAAAAAAAATCTGATTAGGATTATTTTTTTTTATATAATCAAACTTTGATCAGGAGATTTTAAATTTTTTTCCTTATGTTTTTGTTTAACTAGCAATCTTCACACTGAATTTTTTTGTTAACCAAATTCAAACCAAAACAAGCAAGATAACAAGTTTTGTTTCATACGTCAAACGAAAAAAAACCCGCAAAATTTTTTTCTATTTTGAAAAAAATTGCATCAAGAATTGATAATTTAAGCTTCAAACCGAGAACTCTGATGATTCATAACAGCAACAGCAGCTTTATCAAATCCAAGATTTGTGACACAAAAAAAATTATTCAGGATTTGATAATTATTAATTGATCTGATAACCATTGTGAGATGATTTCTTTTTCTTTTTATTTTATTTTTCTCATTGTTTTCATTTGTATTTCATTTTTTTCTGTTTCGTTTGTCATTAATTATTATTATCATTAAAAATTAACAAATCATTGAGATAAAAAAAAACGATAAAATTGTGAAATTATTTTAACTTTTTTTTCCCCACATTTTTATTTTGTATTTGTATCATTATTATTTGAGGAAAATAAAAGTAAAAATAAAAAATGATAATAAATAAATTCTATTCAATCCTTTTGAATCATTTTCTATAGTCAAAAAAAATGTCATTCCGATCAATTCATAATTGATCATTATCACTCATTTCTGCCATCTATTGAAAATGTAAGAAATTTTATAATCAATTTTTTTTCATTTGAATCAATTATTGATCGCGTAAATACCCATAAGAAATAAAAATCAATTTTTCAAATCAATCTCTCGAATCGACAAAAAAAAATTATATTTGATTTTTTTCCAATAAAGTTCATCGTCTTTAACCATTGACAATCATCACAAACAAACGACGTTGTCAATTATTATTTATATATAACTAAACAAAATGAACAATTTATAATGATGATGACAACCAACAATGATGATCGGCTACGGTCAATGGCATTTACTAAAAAATAAACCTTCATTGCTATACGTTTGTTTGCCATAATCAAATTGAAGATTATTGTAATCATTATTATTATTATTATTATTGAAAAAAGCGAACCAATGAATAAGTATAATGAAGTTGAATAAGTAATTATTTTCCCAACAACAACAATCATAAACAAAAAAAAAATTGCCATGATGATGAGTTCGAAGACATTCGACAAAGTCGACGACAATGCTTATCTCTACCCACCTTACCAATCAAACTATGAAGGTAAAGTTTATACATTGGATTGCGTGTGTCCACCAGAAAAATAGTTTCAGACCAACGATGATGAAAATAATGATGGACAACGACGACCACAAAGATAATCAGATCGAGTTTATATATGATAACGATCATTACCATGAGAGTATTATAGCAATATAATAATGATAATGATGACATCGTATACGATTGTATGAATTGGTTTGTCCACATACCACAAAGATTGTGAATATATTCTTTTCTCGAAAAATTCCTTGTCGTCAACAATGATAATTTCTGCATCACTGGTCTATACCTAATGATGAATTTAACTAACCGAACCTCTTTCATTTTCATGACGGGTTGATGATCGGTTGTAATCTTAGCTCCCACCCCCATTACATTCCCAACTCAATCATAATAATTCATTTTTGATTTGTTTGCACCTGAAATTTTTTATTATTATTACTCTTTTAAATTTGTCACAATAGGGCTATTACTTTTTAAATTATTCTCATATGTACATAGATTAATCTATATGATGATGATATTCATGAAAATTTTCGGTCTCATAATATCAATTCATGAAATGAATGACATATTTTATATATTTGAACAACGGAAGTTCAAAGAATAATTTATTTTTATTAAAACCGTTTCAGGAGCGATATATATCATCGAAATATGTATTTTATTATTATTATTATTATTCAAACATATCAATGAAATAATTACAACGAATCCGATCCTATAGTATAAAGTCTAATCATGGCCATATATAATAATCACCTGCCACTACAACGATAATTCTAGATTTCAACCACATGTTAAAATACTCTAACACTTATACGAACGACCAAATAAACACCATTCATGATGATCCATTCTATACCACATGTTTAATACCATACAATCATTGATCCGAGGTGTGGTGGTAATGGTGATAGTGATAGAGGTGGTGGTGGCAAACATACAATCCAATGTATATGGTCGTTTTTTATTATAAACGATCCATTGCGAGTTGTTGTCGTCGTGCTGAAGCTTTGCCCAACGATCATTGTGAATTAAAGAAGATTGAGCTGTTGCAATGATTTGTGTGAATTTTATGAAAACTGGCGCGTTTATTACACTCGTTCATCCAAGCATCAAGAATCATCGAATCTCACTGTCCATTGTGTTGTTCTATACAACGATTTTTCAAACATCAATTCCACTCACCATCATCTGGACACTAACATTGGGAAATTGGAAACAATCAACGATTATGATGATGATGATCGTATATCATTTTTTCGCGTGATACACTTGGCGTGTTTTTTTTACTCTGATGACTCTCATCTAATAATTGTCGATTGTCAAGCATTCGCTTGGTTGGTTTTCACTTGGTATGTAATGCACACACACACACAGATTTATGCAAAAACTGGCTTTCATCGGTTCCAATCTATACCTGATGATATACATTATGTTATAATACAGGTTATCACTTTTTTTCATTGTCTTCGATGATAATAAGAAATTGATTCTGCTAATTTTTTTGTTGGAAAGGACTTACAAATTATCCATTTTATCGAACAAGATAAAATTGAAAGTTGAGAGCAAAAAAAATTAATCGAATTGGATGTCATTATTATGAACATATTATGATTAGTAGATATATTAGATCAAAATCAGGGACATCAATTGTCATATGACACACCTGTTTTAGTTGATTATCATTTGTCTAATTTTTATCTTTCTTTAGATGTATTTCTTTTTTAGACGTTCCTTTTAACACTATGATATGGATGATGCGTTGGATATTAATGATTATAAACTAAACTCTTCTATCAAAGGCGACAATAGAATAAACAAAAATCTTTTTTTTCTGGTGCATCATATACAATAAACAAAAGCCTTTAAGCATACATAACAATACTATTGGATTTAAATCATTCATTTCTTCATTCGTTCATCAACTATACCACAATCATATTATTATCTCAAGTTCATCATAACCATCAACCGGATTCATTCATATGAGACATCCATCCATCAATTAGTTGTCAAGTATATTACGAATTGTCATCTTGTTGTTGAACACCCAATCAAATCTATCTTTATCATCGTAATATATGTGGTGGTTCTATTCATGTGTTTAAATCGTAATTATTACACAATAACAATCAAGATTGTTTTCTTTACAATTTTTCTTCTTTTTTTTTGTTCGACTCTTGTTTGACAAGAGTGCAACCTGTTGTTTTTGTTGTTTTGATTGTTAATTCATCATCATAATTATTATTATCGTCTGTCAACAACCGAGTGATATAATCATCATCATCATCATCAAATAATTACCAACTGGATCAATATGGGTAGCTTGCTCAGTCTATTAAATTTGCATCGTAATGCAACGCTTAAACGTGACATTTTTGTCGATTTTGAGAGTAAGTATATATTTAATCATCATACCTGAACGGGTGTGTGTGAATTTGTTTTAAACATTGAAATGAATTATAATTCTAAACTTGTATCTGTAAGATATGATAAAATGATAATGAAAAATCTAATTAATTATGTGAAATGAATGAATTTTTGAATTTGATTATTTGTATATAATAGATGCCCAACCAACCGAATCGGAACAAATGACCTATACTGTAGTTGACAATACATTGAATGATGCGGCCAAGATACTTGCCGATCTACAAACGTATAAAGGAGCTAGTGCCGAAATTCGTCAGGTTTGTAATCTGATCTCCAAACCAATCCTTTTCGTTTCTCTCTTCTTTTTTTTTTGATGTTCACAAATATCATTTTTCGGGATTTTCTCTTCTTTATTTTTGAGTTCGAATTGCTTTGGCGTAATAGCTGTAAAACAAAACATTGAAAAAATGAAAATTTCACCAACATCCGTTTTTTTTGTTAGTCTGTCATTGTTGTTTGTTTTTTTGTCGTTCAATTATATTACATTCGATTATCAGTAGCATAGACAATTAAACATGCATTGAATATATGTGTCGATTTCATTTTTTCCTATTACATTCAGTCATCCTTTTTCCTTTTTTTCATATAACTTCCTGTGTGAATGTTTTTGACGGCAGTTTGATTTATAATTGTTATTAATATAATTAATACGATAAAATATTCAAACTAAAAAAACAGGCAATCGATAATCCCCATAATAAGGAATTACAGCTAAAAATATGGAATACCGTTGTACCATTAGTCAATCGTTTGAAGCATTTCTATGAATTCGCATTGAGATTGGGTAAGCTTGATAAGTTTTTAATAATGAGATTCCTGAATTTTAATTCTTTTTATAATAGATGAAACTGTGATGCTTTTGTTAGGCGAACTTTGTTCGGATTCGATGCCACCTTTAAAACATTTAGAAACACAACAAGCATTGGTGAAGCAATTTAGTTGTCTTCTGGATTTTGTTCTCAAATTTGATGAGCTTAAAATGCTCAATCCTTCTATTCAAAATGATTTTAGTTTTTATCGTCGAACGATCAATCGTATCCGTTCGCCAAATCCTAATCATAACACCGATTTGATGGCCATTGAAGATCTAAGCCCAGAATTCGCTAATAGAATGTCTTTGTTTTATGCAAATGCCACACCAATGTTACATTCTTTGGCAAACGCGACCCTTAATTTTGTTACATCCAATCCTCATTTGCCAATTGAAAACATAACCGAAACGCTTGGCACTATGGCCAAAGTATGTCAACGAATGATAGAAAATCAGTAAGTCCTATATAGTTTAATTTTATTCCAATGTATTTTATTCAATTTCATCATTGCAGAGATTTTTGTTCCAGATTTCAAAACGAAGAAACTGTTTATTTTGTATTACGCGTCATGGTTGGAGTCATTATTCTCTACGATCATGTTCATCCAATAGGTGCATTTGCCAAAACCACACAGATCGATGTTCGTGGTTCGATTAAAGTTCTAAAAGAACAACCACCGACAATGGTTGAAGGTTTGCTCAATTCACTTCGTTATACCACAAGACATTTGAATGATGATACAACGCCTAAAAATATCAAAAATATGCTCGCCGCGTAAAGATCATATTAATGATATTGCTGTAAAATATAAAATTTTTTCTTAAAAATTCTTGCCTTCAAATCGACTTTCGAAAAAATCAATTCGAAAATAAATCCCATCGATTTTCTGTAATATAGAGATTATTATCTATGCTGATATTTATTCAGTTTGTATTCATGTTGAATTGATTTTGTTTTTTTTAACGGTAAACAAAGATAACCTTTTTCACCGCTTGTTCTTCATCTCTTATTTTCTCTTATTATTCATACAATGAATTAGAAATTAAATAAATGGCATTTCAAAAAAAAATCAATTTAATTCGTAATGATAGATGGCATTACATGATGTAGCGTATTTTATGAATGGATTGTAAGCGAATTGAACGCAAAACTGTTAACAAAATGGCCATCGCAAAGGTTTCAGCAAAGTAATGCGAATTTTTTTTTGCGTTTTTAGGTTGCAAACAAAAAAAAATGAAAAAATGTTCTGTTTGAAACATTTTTATTGTTTTTTTAAAGTGAAAACTGTTTGATATCTGTAAATACGTCGGTATTATATGACATTGTGCGCACTGTGCTATTATAATTTGTGTTTAGTTACATTTTTTGTGTGTGTATACATTTATGTGTTTTTGTGTAACTTGATGTTATGATGACGGTATTGTTGTGTGCATACTCAAACATCGCGTCATCCAACTTGAAAATACTACCCGTATCAAAATTCATACACGTTTTTCATTATAGTAGAAATTAAAACGACATCCATCGTTATTTAGATTTGGTAAAAAAAGAAACAGATTTGCCTGGGCTCCAATAATAGAAGTGAGTATTATTGTCATCAATCCCATGATCATATCATTCATGGATAAGCAAAATTCATCAAACTTTGGTTGTTTCTATTTTCAATTTATCTAGTTTGATCACCATTAAAGAAGTGTTTTTTTATTGGATAAACTGCTGTACCAGATTTTTGTTTTTCTGTGTTGGTAAACAACAACAACAACACCCAATATAGCCAAAATGATTACTGACGTCCAGTTAGCCATTTTTGCCAACATTCTTGGCGTAACATTATTTCTCCTTGTCGTTTTGTATCATTACATCGCCGTCAATTCATCTACATCCAATCACTAAATTCGAAAAATTACATAATTAATTTCAAATAAAAAAAGATATTCTTTTTATTTCCAATCACATTCATAGCTGGCAATTGGCCAAGGGGAACAACTCAAAACGCAATGTAACAATTTCCTTTTTCACTTTACTTTTTTCCTCTATCCCACTTTCTCTCAAGAAAATTTTCTTCACAAAAACAAACAGAATTTCTATTTACTTTTTTGTTTGGTGACTAATTGGTCATGATTGGCAAATACTGCGAGCAGAGATACTAACCAAAAAAATATGTCTTGATTGGCTTTAAGAAATAAAAATTCTGTTTTTGTTTTGAAAATTTTGAAATTTATTTATCTATCGTAATCAAATTATCACTCATAGTTAAATGTTTCTTTTTAGCAAGATTGCTGTTGTCACTAAATCAATGCTATTGTTATTCATTTAAAATCAAAAAAATTATATCAGACGCCATAATGAAGTTTGATTACTCACAATTTTTTCGCGAAGAAGAAGACCATAATGATGAGCTGTTAGAACAGCAATATCAAGAATTTTTCGAAGTAATACGCATCTATTTGATTATTGTTTTAATATTGGCAGTGCTTTGTTTCATATCCAATGCCATCATATCGAAATATCGCAATAGGGATCTAAATTCCGAGGTAATTTTCAAAAATTTTATATTATTTAATTCATTTTGATCCGCACTAAATAGGTTCCATCAACTCGACAAGATCGACTTACATATCACGTAGCTGTCAAATTGTGCGTGTTTGGTCTGGCTATAGCCTTGGCCATTGGTCTGTTATTACCGATGACCATCATTTCAAACGAAATCATCCTAATTTATCCAGAAGATCAATATCCAGAATTAAGATGGCTAAATGATAAGCTAATCAAGCAACTATGGCATTGTATATTCATCTTTTCAAATTTGTGCTTCATTTTGATTCCGTTTTCATATTTCTTTGCCGAATCTACTGGATTTTCACGATCAACCGACAATTTTTTTTCGCGAATTTTGCAAGCTTTTTTGGAGACAACCTTAACGTTGACCATATTGTCATCTTGTATATTCATTGGTTTATCATCAATATTTCCCATTCTGCAACCAAATTTCTTACAGCTAATCACATTTTGGTTAAATTTTCCATTCCTTTATTCATGTATATCGTTTGCCGGAGCCATTTTACTACTGGTCTGTACGCCAAAAGGTATTTTAAATCTGGTTATTTTGCTAGACGAATACATGACACGTCCGTATTCGGTGAATTCAACGGCGGAAAAATACGATCGAATCCTTATTAAAGAAACTGTCTTGCTCAGCCGTCAACAATTGCTCATCCGATATCGAAATAAATATGGCGATAATGCATCTAAAGTTTTCTCAATTGATCTCCTTCCCATCACCAAAGATTCGACATTAACTGGTAAAAAAGTCTTTGAATTCAATTTAATTCATTCTCATCATTTTAATATTTCAGATATCAAATCTTTATCACCAGAATTGTTGGTCGATACCATTGAAAAACATGAAAATCAACGGCAAAAATTGTCAATGAAATTGTCTGTTTCATGGATTCGTTCGAAAATACCTTGGTTAATGTATCCACTTGCGATGGCATTATTGATTGTTACTACGGCATTTTCCTGTGCTATTGTTTTGATAAATTTGTTGGTGACATTGTTTAATTTTGAAGATACAGGCGCTGAACCATTAGTATTGGGCATCGCCTCTTTCTCAAAGATGGGCTTGCTTGGAGCATCAGTTCAAACATTGTTAATTTTTTACATTTGGTGTGCATCACTTGTTGGTCTTTATTCTTTACCTGGTCTTGGTTGTCTCCGACCCATTGCAGGTCAGACTCCTTTCTTCAAGATAATGCTAAATTGCCTTTTGGTATTGATATTAAGTTCAGCGTTGCCAATATTTTTTCGGACGGTTGGCATCACCAATTTCGATCTTTTCGGCAGTTTCGGACAAATTGTTTGGATACGAAATTATCATCTAGTATTGAGCTATAATGGCGCTTTTCTGGGTGCTCTCACTCTATGTCTTTGTCATAGTATAGTGTGGAAGTTGAGCAAAGAATTCTTCTACCGTTGTCATCGACTTTATTGCTATTTAAACGAATCGATCAAATCTTTCACAAAACAATTTAACCGCTTTAAAACATTCTGTGAAATTGGTCGCATTCCTTGGAATCGTCATCATCAAGAACAAAACTCTATCAATCATCCAAATCCTGAATCGCCATCTTCATCGAATGGTCGAATCAAGTCTTTCTATTTTTCACTTCGTAATATTTTTAGCATTGTATTTACATATTTAGTATCATTACTACAGCTACGTAAAACAATACATTCAACAGCCACTTCGCCGATGACAATCGGAAAGAAATTGTCCTAACTTTTTATCTCTTGGAATTCATATCTACCTACATTCAATTGCAACTAAGATTTGATTTTTTTTCTATTTAGTCATTATTTCATGTTAAACATCCCGCCGATCACATTATTCATATCTGGAAATGTCGCAAAAATGCCATTAAATTGGTTAAAAATCCAATACATATAAATCTAAACTGGTCATGAACGATTTGTATGAAAAATATGAACATTTTTATCGGCTTTGTTTTGTGTTGTGATTTTTTTTTTGTAAATTAAAATATGTCAATAAATCCATCTTATTTTGTTCATAAAGTTATTCTGTTGGATTTTAAGATAATCGGATATAATAAAAAAGCGACATCTTTGGATGAATGGTTGCAATTATTAATTGTGATAAACAAAAAAATTAAAGAGAATCGTAAATCATTTTACTAATAAGTTCGTCATAATGATGAAAAAAGATAACGATCCTAATTCTAGTTACCGTAAAAGTGTTTCTGGCATATTGAAAAAATCAATTACGTCAAACAAGACAAACAAATCTAATGCTCAAGCTTCTTTTTCCAACAAAAACGATTCTTTCTCCATGAATGATTCTAAAACCAAAATACAATTAGAATTTCAAAATAATGATTCTTCAGAAATTTCTAGCCAATCAATGAATAATGTGAATGAAACAGAAATGTCTACTTCGGCAGAAACTAATAACAATATAATGTTACCATCAACATCGAGAGAGGGGAACAAACTTAATCTATTCCTGAATAAATTGAATAAGAAACCTATGGATCAATCATCATCAGATGATGAGCAAAGTTCTCTATCACAAATTTTTTCGACATCAGGTAACGACCATCCAATCATTGATCCACAATCATCTACATCAGGAATAAACGGTAATTCCGTTCAATTAAGCTCATCAACTGATTCTGAAGATTTTGATTTTATCACCGATTTCAATAACATCGCCGTTTCGAGTATGTCACCACTTTGCTCTATTTATATTCATTTTTTTGACGTTTAAATCATTTATTTATTTTTTGAGCAGATATTTTTTCAAATAACAGATCAATGGTAATTATCACTTATACTCGAAAACAAATAAAAATGATAATTTTTTCCAAAATTAAAGGATCAGATACGTCCAGTTAATCAATCATCAACGTTGGATAAATGTTCCAGACAATCTCATTCATCAATAGTGGGCCATGCACATCAATCGAGTTCCAATGATATACCAATGATTCGCAATTGTTCATCAATACCGAGCAATATGAATTTTTTGAAACAATGTTTGAAAAATATCGAAATGAATATAACATCCAAAACAAATCGTATCGCTGATTTCGGTGGTAATAATATTCGTTTGAATAGCCACTGCAGTGGTATGATTAATTCACTGGCATATAATTGCAATCATAAATGTGATTGTAATAGTCATCTCCATCATTCGCAACATCAACATCAGCCAAATCATCATGTTCGAACAACTGGTCCTTCATTGTTGGAACAGCATATGAATCAACAATTAATTCGTAGTAACCAGCATCAAAAGAATGGAAACAATTTGGAAATGATTAGCTCAGTTCAGGCGACCAAGATCATAAGCAATCATTCAAATATTGATAACATAAACAGTTCGAATGTGAACCTTACATCTGCTGCTGTAACTACCTTGACCAGTTCATCTACTGGCCTTCCAGTATCGGCATTGACAGTCATGGAATCACCAAAAATATTAAATAATCGTTCTCATAATTGGCAAGCATACATGCCGACATTGAAACACCGAATGGCTACCATATTCAATCGTGATATTTTAGCCGATGTATATTTTCTTGTTGGAAAAAAATCTAAAACAAGATTTGCAGCGCATAAATTTGTGCTTTCGATTGGCAGTCCTGTATTCGATGCTATGTTTAACGGACTTTTAGCTAAAAGTTCTGATATTAGTGATAAATATGATGGAATAAAAGATGGTAGTCATGAGATTGAACTGCCCGACATTGAACCGGAAGCATTTAAAGCTTTACTTCGTTTTCTATATTTGGATGAAGTAGATATCGACCCTGAAACTGTAATGACTACATTGTATGCGGCAAAAAAATATGAAGTCCTAGCGTTGGAGGTTGAATGTGTAAATTTTTTGAAAGCCAATTTGAATCCCGAAAATGCTTTCATGTTACTAACACAAGCTCGCCTATTTGATGAAGTGAATTTGGCTGATTTATGTTTGGAAACTATTGATAAACATACCATTAATGCCCTTCAATCGGAATATTTTCTTGATATTGATCTGGATACATTAAAAATAGTTCTTGGTCGTGATACTTTGCGAATTAGAGAAGCTTCATTGTTTGCTGCTATATTGAAATGGGCCGAATCCGAATGTCTACGCAAAAATTTACAAATCAATACCGAAAACAAACGGCAAGTTTTATCTGATGCTGTCTATTTACTCCGATTTCCATTGATGACGATAGAAGAATTTGCCGTGACAGCTGCACAATCCGGCTTGTTGACAGATAAAGAAATTGTAAATATGTTTCTCTACTATACTGTCGATTCAAAATGCGCCATACCTTTCTCATTTGAGCCTCGTTGTTGTATCACCGGTGAAGAATATTCTGTGAACAGATTTCAACGAACTGAGAGCCGTTGGGGATATTCTGGATCAAGTGATCGTATTCGTTTCTTAACTGACCGTCCAATATTTGTAATCGGTTTTGGTCTTTATGGATCTATACAAGGACAATCGGAGTACGAAGCTATCATCGAAATAATTCATACTGGTTCGGATAAAGTAGTTGCTTCGAATACTACACATTTCATGTCGGATGGATCGGATTCGACATTCAAAGTTATGTTTCAATATCCTGTTGAGATATCTCAAAATACTAATTATACTGCTTGTGCTACGTTGAAAGTATGTTGAAATTATCATGTTGAAACTTTTGAAATTTTTTGTTGTTGTTGTTAATTGCAGGGTGTCGATTCCTATTACGGGACGAATGGATGTCGTACGCTGAACGTTAATCTGGACAAAGGACACGCTGGCAAAGATACGGTAACGTTTCAATTCAGTTATGCTGCGGGGTGTAACAATGGTACATCAATCGAAGATGGTCAGATTCCTGAAATTCTTTTTTATGTTTAAATAAATTTAAAACTTAACAAAATAAACATTTTTAATAGAATTGTAAGGCAAGCAATTCACTTGCGCAATTTTAATTTTTGGCTATTCACATGGGTTTTCTTTGATGTAAAATCAAAAGATCGAACAAAATATTTGTTGTTTGGCATAATATTATTAGTTATTTTAGATATTAAACTTTTTGGGATAATATCTAAGTCGACTAACGAACGATTTTTGACCAGCATATATCGATCACTTCCATGTAGAATAAGATTCAACATTTCAATGAAAATATCTAACGGTTGGAATTTTTGTCTCTGGACCAATTGTTGAATATAAAGAAAGGGTTTTGGCCGCGAGCATAGATCAACAGTGAGATTGTAAATGAAAGTTCCTTTTAATGCACGAAACATACCGTCTGCATTGAATATATGCTTCAAATTGAGAATTTGGCCAAGAAAATCAATATTGTCCACACAGGTTTGAAATACATTGTAAAAATGTACTAATCGTGGCATATAAACTTTTGAACAACTTAAAACAGGCAACAAGCTAAATTTACTGAGATTGTTCTGAAACTCTTGCCGGCTTATGGAATCTAATTTAAGAAATGATGGCGTATTTGTATCACGGCAAAGATAACCAGTGAACCATAGATTCATGTAGATTGCATACACAAATTCAAGCCAAATGTGATCGGAAAAATTACGCAACATAAAAAGAAGAGTAAGTAACATGGATGAAAATGGTATGATCATTGAATGATCAATTAAAAAATTGTTTTTCAGTCGACATTCTAAAAGTTTCATGAGAGATTCATAAATTTCTGGACTTATTTGTAGAATTCTGAAGAAAATAGTTTTTCGCTCTAGAGAGTTTAATCGTTCGATTGCGGATAATTTTGGCAATAATTTTTTATCCAGATCAATAATTGGTGTTATTGCCTGAGCTATAAATTGCCGATCTTTACGAGAATATCGTTTAATTTTTGCAATGTTTCTTTCTTGTGACCTTAAAATACCATATACACATTGCATCAATTCGTTGGAAGTTTCATATGATGATTGTGGATAAGAAAAATCTTCGACCAACGGTCGACACCAATCGATACGAACATTAACGATCGACAACAGACGCGAATCAATTTGTTTATGTGCAAACTTGGATCGCATCCATGATGGAATATTGATATTTTGAATGAACAATCTAAGCATATTTTTCTCAAGGTATGTCCGATAATTGTTTTGCTTTTGATCATAAATAGGACTTTCCAATAGTAAATAATGTTTCTCAATGATCTTAATTAGCGGATGATCTGTGCTTTTCAAAATCTGACTCATATGATTAATCAATGCTTTTAATGTATCGTGTTGAGCAATCCATTGGAACACATCGCTGATCAATTTTTGTCGATCTTTATGTGATGATATTCTTCGAGTAAACATTGCCATGATTTCATTATCTACATAATCATTGCCTAAAATAAATCCAATAATTTGTACAAGATCCAAATTGAGTTTTGGATATGATCGTCTAAGATTTTCCACACGATAATAACGACATTTAAGGTAGTAGTACTCATTATCGGGATCACGATGAACAACAACATCAAAATCAAACAATGATTGAAGATTTACAATGCCGGCGGGAAGATTAAAAAGAAGAAAATCACTATCATTTGAAAGAATCGGGCATTGAAGTTCATGAGCAATTTGTATGATAGTTTCATCCGCTTCATAACAGGTCTGAAATACAGGAATACCAAGCCGTTCCAATTCCAACCTATAAATACTGTCGGCCAATGATGGCATAACACCTTCGATAAAATAATTATTGGCATAAATTTTATGGGCGTTATTCAACACTAAATCGACACGTTTTAACATTGTTTTTAGTTTCTCCAATGACGGATCGATCGCGCCGTCAAATACAACGATCGGTTTGATATTACACTTCTGAAGATTTTTGAAAAATTGTTGAACATGCCTAGCTAATAAATCATAATCTCCGCCATACATATGATCATTTACATGTTGTTGATATTTGAAAAATTGCTGAAAAATTAAATTATAACCATCGATGACCAAAACAGTGTCCGTTAATTGATGAATTTTGAAATAACCATTTCGATTCATAAACGAAGAAAGGCTTTGAACACCCATATTCTATGTATCATATTTTATTGGATCCAATCATGGAACAAAAAACATTTTCAAAAAAAAAGTCAGTAACTCATCACAAATCAGGTGAGATAGGAGTTTTGTTTAAATCAAATGATTTTTGAATTAAAGCAAACACGTGATGCTATCATTAAAATCTCGAGCACAACTATAACTAGATGTCACCACATTCATTCGTTGTTTTTTGTAATCAATTCTTAATACGCCTCAAACAAATATGATAACTGAACTTTAAGGTAAAAATTATTGAATTTTATTTTATTTTTTTGTTAAACATTGACTAACATACACAATTAAATGAGAAAATACAACAGCCCAATGAACATTTTCGACTCTTTAATCTTTACTAATTATTCGATATCGGTATCATCGAATTGTTTCGGTTTCGATTCGATCATTGGTTGTTTTGATTGAGACATTTGTTTTTGAATTTCATGGGCCATAACTTTTTTCAAATAGCGCTAAATAATAAATAGATGAATAAAATATTAAAAAGATGACACAATTATTATCAGTAATTTTCTCAACTTACATCATTAGCAGCATGATAATATTGTAGCAACATTTGAAAAACAGGATCTGGTAATGTTTTTTGCATCATCGCTAGAAATTCGGACTTTTGCGCACAAACTACGGTTGCGTTGGCCAAATGAAAAGCGGCTTTTTCATAATCACCTATATGTAACAAATAAAATAAACGATATTAAACTAATAAAAAAGAAATAAAAATAACAAACCGTTCATTAAAAGATCATCGCTGGCTTGTACTTCTTTCAAGAAATATGGTTGTAATTCACTTGGATCAGTAAATAATGGAATATCAGATTCCATTGAATTTTCCTTTGATCGTTTGGCTTTTAAACGTTCTGGAAAAAACCGTTTTAGGAAAAAAGATGCAATTTTTCAAACAATGCTTACTTTCTTTGAGTTTAGCTTTGAAATCTGGAGCACTTCGACGTTTACGATCAAAATAAACACAGTAGGCAACAAAAGCTACCAAACCAACAGTCAATGAATTTCTCATCGAATACATTTTGTTTTTAAGTAAATTTTACATAGAATGATAAGCTGAAACTTAATATCTAAATTATGCTCGAACCAGAATTTAGCAAACAAGCATGCTAAAAGTTCGAATTGACCACAACTTTCAACAACCAAACAGCACTAATTTCCCATCGTATATAATGTAACCAAACAACGCCATCTCTCTATTCATAGATTTTTGCATTTTAATAGCATTTACTGAATTTTACGATTCTAATCACGAATGCGAAGGAATTTATTCTTAGTCATGGATCAATGTGGTAAAGATGAACAGCCAACATCTTCAAGATACTTTAAACCTGGATACATTTTCAAACGCGATGCTAAAAAGACCGATTCATTTGAATTTGATGACGACATCGATGATGGTGATTATGAAGAAATAATAAGCCAAGTTCCAACAAAACCAAAGATTCCGAAGAATGCCGAAGAACGGATAGAACAGATACAATCACAACAGATTGATTTTACTGCCATAAAAAATAAACCAGCCGTTTGTATACCAACAACATTTAAGGGAACTAACACGATTCTCGGTAAAAAATTGTTTTAAATTTAGTTTGAATATAATTTTTGCCATCTCTTTATTTTTAGTGAATTCTAATCAACGAGAAAATAAATTGTTGAAGGAATTACGTTATGTCCGTCCAATTTTTACGGATTCAATTTCACCAGCACATTTTCTTCTCTATGACAATTGTTGCGCTCTATTCCTTAGTCTCGTTTATCATATTGCCAATCCTAATTATATTTATGATCGGGTGAAAGAACTCCGAAATTCATATCAATTATCCTTACTAATTTTGCAAATTGATCATTCAATATATGAGAATCCACTCAAAGAGTTGACTATTATGGCTATAAGAGCAAATTTTACCTTATTGGTCGCATGGTCGCCTGAAGAAGCAGCTAAACACATCGAAAATTATCGTATAAATGCGGATAAATCGCCTAGTATGATAATGGGTCGAGCGTTTGATGATGACGAAAATGCATCATCATCAATGGAAAAAAAGAAATTGAATGCAAATCAAAGTCATGGCGTAATTGATGCATTGACCAGTGTTAAACACATTAATAGAACTAATGCCATTACTTTGCTTTCGACATTCGATACGGTTGAGAATTTGACAGTAGCGACAATCGATGAGCTAACACTTTGCCCCGGCATCTCGATCACTAAAGCAAAACAATTGCATTCAATTTTTAATCGGCCTTTTATTAAGCAATGAATTCTGACAATCTTCCAATTTCTTCTTTAAAGATGTGATTTCGTCTAAAAGTTTCTGATGATCATTTGGCTCTCTAGATTTTTGTCTATCAACAAGTACAATATCTTCGAATGTTTGCCCATTCATCAACAATTTTAAACCATAATTATCCAAAATAGATTGTAAATATGTTGTATATTCTTCTTGTGATAATTGATTATTTGAATGTAATGATTTAATTAAATTCCATTCAATTTGACCAATCTGATCCAGATGAGAATATAAATTGCCTAAATCTATAGAAAACATTTGTTGAATATTGGTTTAATTTCATTTATAACTAAGATAAAATTTATATTACCACAAAATAGTTGTGATTTCATAGTAATGGCGTAAATACATTGATGTATTTCGGTTACGTTGCTAATCCATGCTAAATCTTTGGATTCGTCTGCTAACGGGCATTCAAGTTCGAGGACAACTTGTCGTTGAGATCCAGCTATACAATCATCTCCTTCAAGGTAGAGAAGAAAATCAAAATGATCACTCGTAACATACCATTCTTTCCATATACCGAGTATGGCATGAAACGAATGATAATATTTGGATTTTTCATGCTGTGTTATGTTACGAAACATACAAACGCGATAATAATATTTAGAATCTTCATACAAATAGCATTCATCCAATAATTCGTTCAGAATTTCTGGTCCAATAAAATTACGTGGTTGCAATCGAATGCTAGCATTCATATCTGATCGATGCCGTTGATTTAATAAATTTTCATTGATATGTTTGAAATCAAGATGTCTGTATGAATAAAGCAATCATTGATCATTATTACCAATAGAATGCAAAAATATCTTTCTCACCCGTTGAAATGATCAATAGATGAATGAGCAATCTTAACCTTTGTTTCCTTACCATAGCTGACCATTATCCATAAACATATGAAAATGAAAAATTTTAACCACCACATAATCATTGGATCGATTTAATTTCTTGTTGACATTCATGCAGTTAGTTTTATGTTTATTATATCAAAATCAAAAATGTGATAACAAATGATATGATGACTCTCTATAATTTTGATTTCAATTTCGCTTTATGACTAAGCGAATCGCGTATCAAATCTGTAGCTTCTGTAGCTGTGCCCCATGATAATGTAATACCATGAGCACCATGACCATAATTGTGGACAATATCTCTGACGGTTCCGTCGGATAATCGATAACATTCATGTTCAACTCGTACCGGTTGACGATGTGGCCGCAATCCAACCCATTCAAATGCAATTTCAGCTTTTTGCAGGCTAGGTACCATCTCAGTACATCGTTTCCAAATGGAAAAGCTATCTAACTGACTTATGGCCATGTTGCTTGATCCGAATTCTTTGATTCCACCTACAGTAACATAATCTCGACCAGGAAGTACATAGGCACCATCGGCAAAGTAAAAATGTTTAATCCATGGGGCAACCACCTTGAAAGCCTGACCTCTAACTGGAATCAAACGAAAATCGTTGGCAAGTTTTGCCGCTTGTAATCCGGTGCAATTGACAATCACATCATATTCAGATAATTCATCAAACGAATCGATATGACGTTCTACAAAAGTACCACCTAAATTTTCGATTTTTCGTTGCATATAAGGCAAATAATGTCTAGGGTCAGTAATGATACTTGTCCATTTTATACCGTATTTGAATTTTTCAGGGAAAAGTTTAAGTCGCTCATCATCAGACATTACCTGCACAGAATTAGTCAATTTGGTTACCAATTCATTTTGCATGCTTTCAGCAGAATAAGTACTGAGTTGGTATCCCGAAATGAAACTATTACCAGATTCTGGTTCGTTTGAGGCTAGGAATGAATAATATTCATAACTGTCACTAGCCCATTGCTCGATCGATTGTCGATCGCGACCGATGTTGATTTCCGGACGAAAAAAACCACCAGCTCCAAAACTAAGAGTATTGTCAAGAAATTTATCAGCAACAATAGTAACTCTAACCGAAGGGATTGTACTCAAGATTTTTAAAGCCGTAGATAAACCTACAACTCCGGCACCGATTACACAAATTTCAGCTTTTGATCCTCGCAACATTCTTGCTCAAATAATCAATGATAAGTTAAAAAATAACAAAAATTACAAAATATCCTATGAAAACAAGATGAGAACATTTCCAAACACGCGCATGCGAATGAAGCTGTTAGCATCGTTTTTCAAATCACAAATTTTAAATTTTATCACTTGTTTAAGGTTTAAGCTTGATTATCTCTACATTGGTATATTGATACAAAGAACCACAATAATTTTTTTCATTTTTTAACGGCTCGAACATGATGCGTGCAAATGTATTTTTTATCATTTTACCAGGATTTATGATAATGGTTCCATTGATATTCTGAAACAATTAAAGTAATTAATTACAAGAATGACTAATTATCAGTATACTTACGTAAGCGAATGGTCGAAGTACAGAAGGTATAATAAGAATATGTGGCGTGACAACCATTGATAAATGATGATACAGAGGATATTCCATATTGATACTTGGATCTGGTGGTAATAATGGATAAAAGTGCCGATGTAAAATAATCTGCTCGCACAAACGCTTCAGTCGTTCTGATTGTATTTTCGAGTTAGTCGAATCGATGCTATAGATAAAAAGATGAAATTAGTATCAAATAATTGCTATTCATGTGACAAACACTAACTTATGAATTTCTTTCCGACTCAAATGTAAAAGAATATCTGTCGATGTAACGCCAACGGCTATGCCGCCGATGTTCAACAATGAAGGATTCGAATAGGATTTTACAGTGGGATATTCAGTGGAAAATTTATTTTCCAAAGGAAACATTGGATAAACGTTCACTTGTCCTAGTTCATTGGAGGAAGGTATGATTACGATTTTAGTATGAATTGATCGTCCTTCAATGGCAACCATCAATGCACGAATCTGATTATGAACTAATCGTTCCAAGCTCCATTGATATGGATAGGAATTATCCGAAAGAGTATCTTGTAGTGACCACTTTTGTATGGCATCCAATTGTGATTCATCGAAAAATGGACCGAACAAAAGCAAAACATCAGGATTATAACGTTTTAGATAATCAGCGATGGCTAGCACACAGCTTGTATCAGTTGGATCATATTTTGCATTAGACTGTGGATCAAATCTAACGAAAGGCCCAGAAGCACAAATAATATTAAAAGAATGTTGGTCAAGTAACACCGGTGGACATTTCAATGGGAAATCGGGCATGATAAATTTAGAATAATCAATGAATTTTGTCACGCTGATGTAGTTGCCCGTGAAATTTTGCCCTTTCAAAATGACAATCTTTCCTGGAAATAAAGAGTAATTAAATTCACCATTTTCATTGAGTGAATTCTTAAGAAGTGATAAATCTAAGGAAATAATTTCGCCACGATTCAGTGAGAAAGGGCCTTCAAGTTGTATAATCTGTGGGTTTAAGCGACCATTTGTCGTGCCATAACGTATTCGGCCAGCGTACAATGTTTCGACGACAGTTTTTGTTTTAAATCGCGTGGTTAATGAATCTTCATCGGCAATATCTTTTATTAGACTAATAAGATCTGTATCCGATTCGGAGTTGTCTTCTTGGCAAAAATTTTTCAATTCGAAAATAAAATTATCCAAATAATTATTGAGAGCTTCATTTGATTCGATAAATTTGGATGACATAAATTTGAATGGTTCTTTTAACGCGATCATTGGCGCCATATAATTCATGTCAAAATCGTACTTGACTTTTTCACACATCCATTGTTTATCCTCCAAAGAACTGCCAAAGTATAGAATAGTTCGCGATAATTCGGGAATATCAAATCTATTTTATGAGAAAATAATATTGAAAAATAACTTATCCTTGATAATAAAAAAAAATTTAGCAGTCAAAAGTCACCGACTTACAAAAAATCATCTTTTATATCATCATTGTCGAAATAATTATCATTATTTTTTAGATCTGATCCAATATTATCCTGATTATCGACTGATGACTCAATTTCGAGATTATTTTCTTCAAAATCCATTTTTATCAATTTATGATCGAAATAAATGTTATATGATTCGAAGAAAGCATTCAAAATTAAACATGTCAAAACAACATATGAAACTAAAAGCGCGCTAATTTGACACCTTAATGGTCTCTTCAAAAAGGATGTTCTAAAATGGTCAATCACCCAAGCAAAATTGAAAAATATTCTCTAAATTGAGACAAACAAGTAAATAGGTTTATTTGAAATTGATAGATGATGCACAAGCATTGTCATTATAAACCTTGAATACATTGTTGCGGATAATGATGATAAAAACTTAAAAATTAACGATGAACAAGGATTAATGTACATCATTCAATAATAACAGGAATAGTGATCATGAATTAGAAATGATGACTATAATAACAATTATAATCTGAGGATTAAATTTTAATAAATCTGTATAATGATTATTCATCATCATGTTAATCATTGATATTGATTTGATTGTTATTCGAAATCGTAAATATGTTGTTTGTATACTTAAATTTAATTTAACATAAATCGAACATGAAATGAACAAGAGCAAATGTGAGGATCAATGAAACTAAAGCCAAAGCTGAAGCGTTCATGGATCCATGATGACGATTTTTCGCTAATGACGATTATTAGCTGAATGGCCAAAATGGCGGTCACATGTTGGAACATACAAATACACACACAGAGACAGAGTGTGTGTGTGTGTGTGTGTGTGTGTGTGTGTATAATATAATGATGGAACAATAACAAGGCAATATATTGTAGAGGCCATTACTCACCATCATAATATGATGATGATTATGATGATGAAAATGAAACGACAAACGAGTTACTTCCGAGTTTTCTTTCTTTTTTTCAATTACAGCCAACATTAAGTCAATGTATGTTGTTGCCTTGTCATCGAAGCTATAGCAATGGCCGCCAAGCATCTATTTGATCATTTGATCATTAACGTTTTGAATACACCTTTAAAAAATCATTGATGATTATTGATTAAATAGTTGTGTTGAACCAACAATGATAATGATAATGATGAGAACAAAATATCTTCATATGATTCAAATGTTCATTCAACTAAAAAAAATGAAAATTTTTTCACCTTCAATTTTTTTTATTCATTTAATTAAATTTTTTTATCGACATTTCATATATTATTCATGGAAAATAAAATGATGTTTGTTGTTGTTGTTGTATTTTCTTTTATAAAAATAAAATTGTAATTTATTATATTTTCAAAAAAAAAATTATCAATGAATTATATATTATTGATGAAAAGGACAATTATTAAATTCAAATATTATTATTAATTCACATCTTTTGTTCATCAAAATTATAAGAATAAAATTTTTTTCTATAGAAAAAAATCAATTTATAATGAATGCATATTGATAAAAAACATTCATACAATTAATTCATTCCTTTCTTTTTTTTAGATAATAAAATAGATTTTTTTTCTGTGACCAATTGGAAGATGTGATTGTAATTGTTTGTTTGTATATGTATGTTTGCAAGTAGGTATGCATGTGTCGGAAAAGCTGAATTATGAGTAAAAAGATTAGTGTGGAACGTTTTTGAAATTTTTTTTTACAATAAAAATATAGCTCGATCGATTCGGATGATGATGGAACAAATTTAGGCGTCATTGATATTAAAATATTTACACACACAAATACACAAACACAATCTTATCGATAATTGAATAATGATGACGAGATGCAATCGTTTAAATGATGAGGATGATCAAAAATAATGATGATGACAAGTCGGTTTTACAAAGTCATTTTTTTACAATTATTAAAAAATGTTTTATACAAGAGAAATACAAATGAAAACATTTCAAAGATCAGATTTTTTTCGGTGGCGAAAAAAAATAGAAACAAAAAAAGAATTGTAAAACCAATTCATCTTCACAATTCTATAAATGGATCAATATACGATTTAGATGACTTTTCCTATTATATTATTTTTTACGTCCACCATCATTGAATCCATTCTTCCACGAATGATGATAATGATGACGTGCTGATGATGAATTCGTTGTCGTTGAATTTGACAATGAATTGGAATTGTTTCTTGCCAACGAGGTAAAACGATGTGAATGATGTGATGATGAAGAATTAGATGATGACGATGAATGGCTATTATTATTATTACGATGATGATGATGATGATGATGATGATGACGATCTAGATTACTATTATTATTATTATTATTATTATTATTATTCAGTGATATTGGTGATCCATTTCCACTACCACCTCCACCGCCTGCTGATGAAGAACCTCGCAATAATCGATCGAATTGACTGGATGGAAATTCGATACGCGGAAGTAGCGGTGAATCATCATGATAATGATCATGATATGATGGATAATGATGACGATTATTATAATGATGATTATGATGATGGTGACCGATTGTCATCGTAGTATTTGAATGCTGTTCTTGGTGGTTGTGTTGGCGGTCGTATGGTTGATGATAAGAATATGAATTTGTTTGATTTCGATATTTGCTCTTGTCCTCGGCAATACGGTTGTTGCTGCGGATCAACAATTTTCCTATTGACGAACAACATTCGTCCACACGTTCATCGATTTCACCTATTAAAAAAAAAATATTCATAAAAATTGTTGTTTTAATTTTTCAATAACATCAAAAATTGATAGATTTTTTTAAATTTATATAAAAAAATCGATCCTTAAAATTAAATGATCGTTAAGGTGAATGGAAGAATTTTTTTCTATACTTGAAAAAGTTTGTCGATTATCATTATTTATCGGTGATGATGATTAATTGTGAATTAAGAAATGAAAAAAAATATCAAAATTAAATGATCACTACAAAAAAATAAGATAATTATTAATTAAATAATCACAAATTACAACGAATGAATAGTTTGTTAACACCATTATCAATGAATGGAATCCAATTAATCTAAAATCTTTGCTATTATTATTGTTATTATCCTTTTGCTTTATATTTTCATTTGTCATTCAAAAAAAATAAATTAATCTACAAAAAGAAGAAAAACAATGACAAATGAAATATAAAGAAAAAAACAGTCCTTATGTTGTTGTATCGCGAATGAATCGGAACAACAACAGTAAAAACAAAACAAAAAATAAAAATAAAAAACGGAACAAAGTTTTTAATGATGATCAATATATACGAGAACACGAGTCAAATGGTCCACATACACACGCACAAGATATATTATTCACGATAAAAAAAAAGCTTGACATAAAGCAAGCCAAAAAGCCAAAATTGAAATAAATGAAAAAAAAATTATTATTATTATAAAGAGTGAAATTTGAACGAAAAAAAAAGGAAAGAAAGAAAATGAGACAGAGATAGAGAAAGAGAAAAGTAGCTAACTGTAAAATGTTTAAATTGGAACTACTATTTAGATATTAGGGAAAAAGAGACAAGTTCACACTTGAATATAACACAACAAATAAATTTAACGGATAGATGAATGTATGTATGGATAAATATCACATAGATCGCCAAATCAATTTAACGGGTTGAACTTAGTTAACTGTTGTGGTCAAATTATCATTAACATCATCATAGTGAATACATGGATAATGGATCCAAAAAAATATGATATGAGATGACTAAATATTTTTTTGAAAAAAATGGATTCTATATGCATTTAAAAAAAACAAAAACTATTCAAGCGAAACACCTGGAACATTCAACAAAAAAAACTTGATTCAATGAAAAAATAATTATATACATTTTAAACACACACCAAAAGATGATGGATATGTAAACGTTTTTTTGCTGTTGTTGTTGTTGCTTACTTTCATATTATAATTATACAAAAAATAATTATTACGTTAATAATATTAAAACAATCAATCATTATTCACATCAAAAAAAAAGAAAAAGAATAAAACAAACGACATTACTATAGTAGTATAAATCAAAGTCGATCATCAAAGAATTAGAAGAAAAAAAAAATTTTGCATCAATTTTAGTTCGAATAGAAACATGTTGCTAATTGGTGATGATTTTTTTCCCGTATTAATGAAACAGACAGTAATTCAATCATTGAATGAATGACATAATGGTATATTTTATATAAATTGAGTTGATTGAAATTTGTTAGTATTCAAGCATTCATGTTGATATGGGATAGAAAGAAAGAGAAAGAAATCCTCATAATAGGACAAAGGATCAAATCCATTTTTTTTGATCAATTCAAATTTGATTGTTGTTATGAAAAAAATTTGATAATGTCATAGAAGGATTTTATAATTGAAATGATGTATCTTATATGACATTATTATTGTTGTTTAAATTTTCTTTCCCCTTATGATTTAAAATCAAATATTCATACAGGGACATTGTACAATGTCAACCATTTGGTGGAAATTGTCTTCGATCGAAGGGCATTAGACAAACAACAACAAATCAAACAAACATCTTAGCACCATCACCACCATTGTCACGATTTGGCTTGTTTGTAGCAAACAGACAAAATGATAATCAAGAAAAAAAATCATTGATCGAATTGATGAATATCACGGGACATCAATGTCGAGAAAAATCAATAATAATTTTTTTAATAGCCTCAGATCAAAATTGATAAAATCATTAAAAAAACCAGAATTTCACCGGCAAAATATAATATAATTGGATGCCTAGTCTAAAAAAGAATTTTTTTCCAGTGATTTAATATTCGGTAATACACGTGTCACGGCTATTCACTTTTAATCTTTCTCTTTTTTTTCATTTATAGAAAAAAAATCTGATTATCTACTAATATTCTACTAGTTTTAGCCAAAACGATCATCTAATAATCATTGAAGCAATGAAAAATCAGAAGATCACTTCCTTGATTTCACAATAAATAATGAATTTCTCTTCCAATGGCAGATTTTTTCTTTCTTTCTTCTTGTACTCAATTCAATCAAAGAGAATGAACAATACATAAGATGATGATTTTTCCAATCAAATTAATTGTGGTTAGATTTTTTTTTCTATGTACACATGTTTATTTCTTGGATCGCTAATCATTGTATGGACAAGGCGAAGAAAAATATCATATTTTTTTTAAAGGGATGCTAGCGAAACAAAAAATTTCTTTTTTTCCTACTTTATCTCTTTTCTTTCTTTCTCAATATTTCTCTTTCTCTAAATTAGCTGTCTTGGATGAAAAAAGAGAGAACAAAAAATGCGAAACTTTTGACCAAAATGAATAGGACAGATACATTTTCGAATACTTTTAGAAAAAAGGAGAATTACCGAATGACTCAGTTTAAAACAAAAAATAAGTGATACACACTCACACATATAGCTACATGTGTTGAAATAAAATCCGTTAGAAAAATTCGGACGTTGTTATTGTTGTTGTTTCAACAGGCGGTGGAGGATATGATAAAGCGAGATTTTTTTTCTAGTTTATTTTTTTTTTTACTTCCTACTCCTCTTCCTGAGGCACCATTAGTCATTGTATCGTACAAAACTGTTTCATAAAAAGAAGAGAGAGAGAGAAATGGGAAATAGATGGCAACATAGATTTTCCGTTTCATTTTTTTCAATTTAGTTCTCAAAGCTATATAATTTGTATGATGGATAATGATAACCAGAAATGCTGATGATGATGATGAAATAAAACCTAACTTACCAGAAGATAAGTGACGAGATGTTAAAGACTGATCAGATGATGAATGGTTTGAATGAAATGATGACGGTGTCGATTGTTGTTGTTGGTGAAAGTTGTCCGTTTTTAACGGAACAAATTTTCGACTATTATTTATAGGATTCGTGGTTGTTGTTAATTTCTTTATGGCAACGGAAGAACAAAACAAAAAACGAAGCCAAACAAAACAAAACAAAATTTGTTATAATTTTTCTGATGAACAAAGGTATTTCGTTATAGATGTGAAGGATTTGTAGTTTTATCAATTCATACAATTATTTATTATTATATGAAAATCAAGATACAGATGGATATGACGATGACGATGATAACGATGATGATTGTCACCGATTTATTTCAATTATGAATAATCAACAATAGGAAAATTTTGCTCAATCATCGCCAGTATGGAACAACTTTATTTTTTCATTTTTTTTCAATTCATGACCAGAACAGAATTCGAATGAAAATAGCGAAGAAATATTTAAATTTTTGATTTATTATCAATCAATTTATTGTTATTGTAGGCAAACTGATTGTAACTAGAAAAAAAAAACAATAAACAAAAAAGAAAAAGAAAATGAGACATAAATCTATTATTGATTATAATTTCAGGTAAATCTATTTGAATATTTATTTTAAATGAAAAAAATAAAATAAAAAATCTAGACCTAGATTCATTAATGATTGATGGCAAGGTGTAATTTGTGCGCTGTCCGTAAAATTCAAGTCGATTATTCTGTGTTATTTGACCACAACAGAAGATTATTATAATTATTCTGAGATCATCGATAAGAATGAAAACAATGAATGAGTATGGCGATGAATGAATAAATATTTTTTTATTGTATGGTTATCAGATGAGATTCAATTTTGATCCTATCGAATGGATCGATAATAAAAAAAATTTCACCGTTATTGATTGACATTAAATGTTTAGTTTTTCGTATGTTTTGAATTGATGAAAGAATCATAAATTTTGCATAATTAATGTTTTGATGAACATTAAGCGATTTGAATTGTTGTGGATAACGATGATGTGGATGATAATGATGAGGATGATAATAATAATGATGATTTGAGATTCTTTTAGTAAACATTTAGAGACAATGAATGATTTTATAATTAATTTCGATTGTATCAAGGTTGATTCTATTGAGTAGCTTCTTAGGAAATGGATTTATCACTGATGAAAAGGAATCAAAAAAAAAAAAGAAAATGAAAAAATAAATAAAAACAAAACTTTGAATCAATTGGAATCGAATTGTCAGAAAGCACATACACACACACACACAGTTGACAAATCGACGTACCGGTACGTATTTCTGAAATTTCAATTTTTAAATCATTTCCTGGTCGTAATAGGGTAGTTATTTGTAGTATTGCTGTAATGATATCGAAGATGAATGACAGAAACAAATGATCATTTGTATATTTTTTTGAAGTTTTGTTGGTGAATAAGATCTGGTTATTGATGATGATGATTATTTGAGAAAATTCTACAAACTAATATAATGATTTACTTTTGTTATCCGATGTTGATGCTCAACAGCCACACCTACTTCGCTCGACTAGGCCGCGACAGCTGGTCGCGATAACGACTAAAACTCCACACACACATAACATACACGGACACATTCATTCATTCATGAGTATATATCATGAGATAATTGTCGAATAAACAATACTAAGATGTTGATGCGATCATCGTCATCATCGTCATCGAAACCAGTAAAGAAAATAAAAAGAAAAAATCATTCAAAATGATAGTCGGTGATGGCTAAACAATTGATAATAATGATGGTGGTTTTGATGGTGGTGGTGGTGGTGGTGGAGACCGAGAGAGGGAGGTGGTAACTTTCTCTCTCTCCTTGGATTTTTATGGTTACACAACAAATTTCCAATAACAACAACAATAATAATAATAATTATAAGCATGAGAGAAGCCAAGAGAAGGAAGCAGAAAATTGAAACAACAACAACAAAAACAACGACAACCACCACCACAATCAGAATGAACGGTCCCTACAAATATGCGCATTTATACATTTATATAAAGTTTTCTGAGATCCACACATTTATAGTTAAAAATTGTCGACTATAAAGCAACATGAAGTTGGTATTAATTTACGGGGGAGGAGGAGGGTGGGCTAAAGGAAATCATAAACTGTGTTTGATCGATGATTTTGATGAAAATGATCAATATACATCATAATGACAGATTCATCGTCGTTTTAATTTCACAAACTTTGGACATGTTACTCACACAGAATGAGGAAAATTGAAAAAAATAGAGCTCACTAGGCCAGTGGAGCATATTATTATTGAGTACATCGAATAAAAAATGTAAATCGTAAACATGTATGAAAATTCTAGTCCATATGTGAATAATAAAAAGAATCGCTATTTCGAAATTGTTTTGATGAAGAGAGAGGGGGTTTCAAAAAACAAAACAAAACAAATGTAACAACAGAAACATTTGTTATGATGATGATGAGGAATGAGGAAGCGGAATGATTTTAGGATAAAGAGAAGGAGGTGGATAAAAATGTTTTTATTCAATTGAAATTGAAGCAGAGGTTGATTTTGTTCAAATGACAGACAATAATATTGTTGTTGTTGATTTTGAGAATGAAAGCGAAAGTGAAAGTGAAAAAGAGAAAAAGAAAGAGAGAGTATAAATCCAAACTGGTCACACCGCCAAAACAACTGCTGTATCTTCCTTTTTCAACTTCGACGCGTCGATAACCATCATAACCAATTGGTGGAGGCGACCTAATTTCAGGATGTTTTGTATACAATGATAACCATAACAGCCAGTCTGATATTTTATTGGAGATGCTACCGGTATTAATAATGTCTGTCATAATAATGGGTATAGTAGTGGCATTGCGATAACACCAGTATTATCACTAGGTCACCCATGCGCATAAGATTCGCTAACCTTGACACCGATTTATTTAATTCAAAAGAAGAAACATTCCTCGTTAGGTTTAGGTTCCATTCTTTTTTTTTTAAATTTTATTTTATTCTTTCATTCTGACTTATGCCAAGGCAATAATGAAAAACCAGACCATCATTATCAATCGATGCAATAGAATAATTTTTTTACGGGCTATTTTTGTGCTTTTCATCAAGTTCATTCATAAAATGAACAAAAATAAATATAAAATGGGCGCCACATTTTGAATCGATTAGATTGACAACAGAACAAATTAAGATAAAAAATTATTGTCAATCTCATCATACAGGGCCATGAATTTTTTTTTGCTTCTTGATGATCAATTTTCGTTGTCGGTTGATAATTTTTTTTTCAGTTAAATTTGCTTATTTTATTTTTAAATCCAAATAATATAGCGAGTATGCCTCGTTTTTTAGTACATCTAATATATTCCAACTATTTTCTCACTGATGGATCAATGGTCGAATTTCAATTGTTCCAATTTATTCCCCGTTTGCTTATTGCATGGAAACCCTTTTTTTATTTAAATTTTATAAAATAAGTTACATGAATGTAATGAATGATGAATGATCACATCAATATGACAATTTCGACAATGTTTTTTTTTTGTTGTTGTTGTTGAACATTTAGAACGAGTCATTCATTCGAAATGAACCAAAGTGATAGGGTACAGATATTTAAAAAAATGACATTTTTTTCAACAATATATATGGGGTCACAATATACAAAAAAAAACTCTCAAGGTGAATATTGTCGTTGAAAAACTAGGTCAACGGATTGATCACATAATGTTTGATGTGTTTGTCGTTGAATAAAATTTTGAAAAAAATCCGTAACCCGAAACTTAAAAAAACCGGTTAATGGAACATTAATAAATTACCCACAATCGATTTTCAATAAAAAAAAAATAAAAGATATTTAATGCATCATTGACACGATTGTTGTCCTTGGATGGTGCATATTTTACTATATAAATTGGTATTGATTCTATCGTTGTCGATTTCCAGTGAATAAAAAACAAAATTCAATTCTTATCAATTACGAGGAAAAAATTTTCACTTTTACTCAATTGATTAAAAAAAGGATCAATGAGAGATTTGATTCAATTCTGGAAAACCTTGAACAAATTCATCATCACAAGAAATACAAGGTTTTCTAAATAATTTTCAGATGATTAGGTGAATGAAATTTTTTAAATGCCAAAAGAAAATTTTTCATTGTCAGCAATCGTATTTACATCATTTAAATCAGTTATTACAATTGATATGACAATTTACTACAAAATACATTATAACAACATACAAACTAAATCAAACCAGTCTTAAAAGAATGCTACCAATATATGACCTTAACCCATAATATATTTCATATATACGCCCACATAAAGGCACGCACATGCATCTACCAAAAAAAACTGAATAACCAGAAAAATCCAAAACGAAATTCTCAGCCTCTGATCCGAGGTCATCATTTTTTTTATTTAGGAGTATTTCTTCAAGATGATTCCTACATCAATGAAATTTTTTTTTCGCTTCCCGTTAACCTTGATGACAATACAATCGTAACATTCATTTCATATAATCAAACATTTAACCTTGCTTACCAAAAATAAAAAACAACCAACCAACTATGAACTATAAATAAATAAATAATAACCAATGGCATATATCCGAAGGTCAGGCGGTTTCTTTTATCATTTTTTTTCTATATAATCATCATCATCATAATCATCATCAAAGCCATTCAATTATCATTACCATGGCTATATCCATAGATGGTAATAATAAATAAATAAAAAAAACCTAAAAAAAACAAACAATGACGAAATAAAGATGAAAGAAGAATCGTTGTAATTTCTCTTTTTGAATCTTCAGCTGTTATAATCGGTCGACAATAGATGGTGTTACTATATAAAGTATCTACAAATTAACAAATTATATAAGTTTCAACAAAAAAAAATTGAAATTTTGTTTCACCTTGGAAATAATGATGCTATAGAAATAATTTGAATTGATAATCAATTAAAATCGAATCTAGAATTGAATCAAAATTGGAAACAAAATTTTCAATTAAATTCTCTACTTATTATTATTACTATTGACTAAATCCAATCGATTCAAAAACATCAATGTCAATTGCGTTCAACACATCACTCATCATCAGGAACTAATTTTTTTAGGCTGTTGTTGTTCATCTTCAAGGAATACGATTTTCTTGTATCTTGTTGTTGTTGTTGTATAATAATGATAATTATTATACAAATCACATAACATTGTTTGATTTTTTATATAAAGTTTTTTTTTACTTAACAACATAATATCAAATGACTATAGGCTATGGACAAGGATAAATTTAGCTTATAATGAGAAAAAAAACATACAATAATCTCAAATCTAATAATGTCTAAACATATGTAAAATAAAATTGGAAAAGTGAAAATTATTGTAAAAAAAGAAGAAAAAAACAGTAGAAAGGTCACAAAAATCATTTTTTTGTTTGTTTGTTTGCACGTAAACAAAATCATTACGTTGACTTCACCTTGCGGTCTTTGTCATTTATAAATTTAATGATTGAATCATTAACAGATGTTATATAACAACGACAATAGCAAAAACCTTGTTTCCTAAGGAAATATTATTTCATTCCTTTTCTATTATTATTAATATTCAAATTGATGTCATTGTTAAACATTTTTTTCAATTTTTTCTGAATGCTAATGAAAATGGCATCTAAAAAAAAATACAATGAACCAAAATCGATTATGTTCATTCCAAACAAATATCCATAGATAGATTATTTTTAAAATAACTACAGATATTTCTTTTTTTGTCCAATCTTTAATATCATTGTAGGAATGTGAATTTTTTTTTATTTGCAGAAAAAACTAATAATAATGAACAAATTTCTAACAAAATCAGCAACATTGATAAATTTTACATATTTTTTTGCACAAATCATTTCCTTGATTATTAGATTTCATCTGATTACAGTATTACATTTTGATTGTCACCTGGTATGTAATAAACAATCAATCTACAAGATGAAGTATTTTTTCTGTCATTCTTATCCTTGGCTAACAAAAATTTGATGACATTAATAATATTATTTTTTACTTTGCATCCACAAAATTTAAATTTAAAATAACCAAAACTTTAAAACATTACATCTTCTTTATGATATTCATGAAAAAAATCGCAATATAAATTACAACAGGAAAAAATAAAATTCTAAATAAATTCAAATCGATGAAGTGAATGGATGTTTTTATTGGTTTTTCTGGCACGATCACAGCTAAAATTTTTTTTTACAACTACCTTATTGGAATGAATGAATTGATGAAATCTAAAAAAAAAATATTTCATTTCTCTCTTTTGCTATTTCGTTTTCTCTTTCCAGTTTTGGATGAAAAAAAACCATACTTTCTAACAATAGGATTTATTGTGTAAAGAAAAATGATTTTTTTCTCCAGAAAAAATACTAATCTCTTACCTGTTGTCAAACCTTTTTATTTCTCACATTTATTTACATTATGTTTTTTTTGTTGAATGAATAAATATATTTCAAAACCATTTTCTTCATTATCTACCTATTCCACTTACAAAATTTATATATCCTGTTGCTGATAAAAGTGTTTTTTTGTTTCTGTCGTTGTTGTTGTTGTTGTTATTTGGTCGTCATGAATGTGATTATGGTCAGAATAATATGATGATGAATTGATAGCAGACAAGTTGAATCGATCAAAAATGGAAAAAATACTATTAATTTGAGCACGTTTTCGATTCAATCGACGGCGAATAAATGATAAATGAATATTAGAATGACAGTGTAACAAACAGAATGAATAAATGAATGAAGATTTTTAATTATTATTTCAAATTTTTTCTTCATTTGAAAACATTATTCATTCATCATAATCGATTTAAGCATTGACAATAATAATAAGTGATCATAAGTGGAGTGACAGTTATTTGGAATTATATGATATATCTTGTCTGTTGAATTTGATCGTATATAAAATACTTTAAAACAAATCGAATCTTTGGAATTTTTTTTTTGCTATTTATCTAAGGTAGGTTGTCTTATTTTGATAAATTTTATTGTTGACTAGATTTTTTTTTTATAATTTTATTGGCTATCATATGAAATATATTTATTATCAACAGAAAATACTAATTTTTTTTTTGAAAATGAAAGAAATGACTTATCAATCCGAGAGCGATGATATTGAAAAAATAAAAATGCGTGACACGAAGGCTACATCATCAAAATCTAATAAAGATCGTGGTCAATGGTCTACCGGTATCGAATTTCTTCTGTCATGTATTTCGATGTCAGTTGGTTTGGGAAATGTTTGGCGTTTTCCATATGTTGGTATGTTGAAAAAGATTTTTTATTCATTTGATTTCAGATTATTTCAATCTGATGTTTTAAATTTTCAAAAAAAAAGCCTACGAAAATGGCGGAGGAGCATTTCTTATTCCATATTTTATTTTACTTTGTCTGATTGGTCGACCAATCTATTATTTGGAATTAATACTTGGCCAATTCAGTGGCCGAGGACCGATCAAAGTATGGAAATGTGTTCCAGCAATCAAAGGATTGGGCTTTGCTCAACTTTTATCAACATCATACATTGCAATATTCTATAATTATCTGATGGCTATTTCCATCTATTATTTTATTGCTTCATTCTCACCAACATTGCCATGGACTAATTGTGATCAATCTCAATCGTTTAATGTTAGCTGTCCAGAATTTTATTACGAGTAGGACAAATTTTAAGAATTCAAAACAAAACAAAAATTTACTGAATTTTAAACATTTTTATTTATTACAGACGAATTGTTTTGAATAAATCCGATGGTCTTTGGGATCTGAATTCTATTAGCATCGAATTGATAGGATGCTTATTTGTTTCCTGGACGCTTGTTTATCTAAGTATTGTCAAAGGGATAACATCATTGGGCAAAGTTGCCTATTTTACCGCCATTTTTCCATATGTTGTTTTAATAACATTACTTGCTGTTTCATTGACTCAAGATGGCGCTATCAATGGAATTCTTTATTTCTTACGACCGGATTTTGCAAAACTTTTGGATCCAATTGTTTGGTATCGTGCAGTGGAACAATCATTCTTTTCATTAGCTGTTTGTTTTGGATCCTTGATAATGTATTCAAGTTATAATAATTTCAATAATAATGTAAACAAGTAAGTATGAATAATAATGATAAGAACATCAGAATTGAAAATCTGAATCTGTCATTCCTTTATTTGAAACAGAGATGCCATCATTATTAGTGTATTGGATACATTTACTAGCCTTTTAGCTGGATGTGTAATATTCTCCGTATTGGGAGCGATGGCAAATGAAAAAGGTGTCGAAATCAAGGACGTCGTAACAAGTGGTATGCAATGAATTTAAATGAATGATCATTTTTAAATGATAAACATGAAGGGGAAACCCTAATTATTTATTCATTCCGCTGAGATTTTGTTTTCGCTTTTTAAGCATATTCTTATTTGATTTAATCTTCACACAGGCACTGGTTTAGCATTTATCGCCTACCCTGAAGGATTAAGTAAGATAAAATTTCTTCCACAATTATGGTCAATATTATTTTTCTTCATGCTGTTCACATTGGGCATTGGAAGCTCCGTGGCCATGATTGAAACGATATTAACTTGTATCAAAGATGAATTCGAATCGTTACATAAACACAAAGCAAAATTAGCGTTGGCATTCTGTGTCTTTTTCATGTTACTAGGAATACCATTAACTACAGATGTAATTTGATTTCTATTTAATACTGAATTATTGAGTTTGTAACAAATATTTCTGATGAATGATTAGGCTGGATCGTACATTATGTTACTGTTGGACAATTATGGTGTTGGTACAGCAGCTTTTCTTTATGGTATCATACAAATGGTGGCCATTGCTTATATTTATGGACTAAATAATTTTAATGATGATATACATTTTATGCTCAAACAAAAGCCTTCATTATATTGGAAGCTGACATGGGGATTCATTACTCCATCCGTATTGGCTATCATATTCATCTATGGTAATATTCTCATAATGATGGATGAACGAGTCAAACCAGGTATACCGAATTGGGGAAATCATATCGGTTATGTTCTAGGTATGCTTTTAATTTCATTCAGAATCTAACAAAATAATGATCCGAAAATTTTTTATTCTAGCTGGAACAGCAATCATTCAGATTCCGTTCTGGATGTTGATGACCATAAGCAAACAAAAAGGTGCTACCCTTTTTGAGGTAATAAATTATCATCTATCTTACCCATAAAATTTCACTCAATTTCATATTGTCAATAATAGAAAATACAATTGGCATTTAGACCAACCAATGATTGGGGACCAATCGATGAGGAAATATTCACTGAATGGTCACACTTCAAAGTTGACAATACTTTTAATAAAGTGTTCAATAACCATAATCCTCACTCGGATCCGACATCGATTATAACCAATTTTAAAGAGGATGGTTCTGATAATTTTGGTTTCTCATCGGATGAAATTGGAGCAAGATTATCAGTGAAAAGTTCTTCTAATAAAAAATCCAATTCTACACATTTGGACAACAAACTAGTCAAATAAATAAGCCCGATCATCATCGTCAACAACTATTAACCATTCTACGATTTCTCTCAATCAGAAAAATTAACATTCCATAAATGATTGTTTTTTATTTTTGTCTAAAAAACAGCGACCAATTTTTTTCGCTAACTAATTTTCTAATTTAATTTGACATTTTTATCCAATAAAATAAAAAAAATTGTCTTAACTCTACTTATTGATTGTGTATTAATAATATTGGAAAATGGAAAACAAAATTATATCATCAATTACTGATAAAAAAAAGTCAGCCTCAGTCATTGATAAGCAGCTATCATTATGATGAATTTTATTGTACATTGTCATTTGCTACGTATTTACAATTAATGACAATGATTGTTTTAATTTTGGGTTCTATTTTGCTCATCTGGATAATCTATATTCTTAAGTAAGATAAACAAATTCTCTTTCAAGTAAAATAATACATGTTGTCATAATCATTATAGAGGCTTTTATGAATATTTAACCTATTGGCGACGACAATGTGTTCCTGGTCCTAAGTTTTTCAAATTTAAATGGACATATCAACCATTTCATGAGGTCATGTACGAAGGTACTCAACTTTATGGACCAATACATGGTGTTCTCACTCCTCGCTGTCATTTGCTTGTTATTAATGATATTGATGTGGCCAGAGAATTATATATCAAACAATTTCATAAATTTCCGATTCGTTATTCGTTTTGGTTCGGCTACAGTAACATCGATAAGATATTATTCTTTATGCCAGCTAATGATGATTGGAAACGTATTCGTTCGTTAATCACACCAGCATTCACCACTGGCAAATTGAAACGAATGATCGAACCGATTGAAGAGATCAATGTGAATTTTATTCGCCATCTTCTAAAATTTAGTGAAAGTGGTGAAGAATTTGATATGAAAATATTAACTGGAGCTTTCTCCATGGATGTGATTGCACGATGCGCTTATGGTATTGAAATTGATTCACTTAGTCAACCGGATCATCCGATCGTAACTAATGCAAAAAAAATTTTCGGTGTAGACGCCACTTTTAGTTATGTGATGTGCATTATGTTTCCGAAAATAGCAAAATTTTTTCGGCTTGAAATGACTGATATGAAAACTGTTCAGTACTTTGATGATCTGACATCCAAAATCATTCAAAAACGAATTGAATCATCATCCGGAAAACGTTTGTTTTAAGTTAAATGAATATATCTAAATGATTTTGATCGTTTTTCTGTTATTAGAAAATCCTGATTTGATTGGATTGATGATTGAAAGTGCGATTGAAGTAAATGGAACTGTTGCGAAAAATGACATGCCAAAAGGTATAAGCAAAGATGAGATTTCGGCTCAAGGTATCTTATTTTTTATTGCCGGATTCGATACGACCAATGCAACATTGACTCACATTTTCTACTACCTCATTAAACATCCGGAATGGCAGGAAAAACTTCATGATGAATTATCAGTTATCAGTCATGAAAAATTCGATTATGAAAAACTCAAAGAGCTATCGATCTTGAATGCAATCATTGACGAAACTTTGCGATTGAAACCCCCATTGCCTATGATCGATCGTGAATGTATAGAACCATATCGAATTGAAAGTCATAACATCGAAATACCAAAGAATTCAATGATATCGGTTCAGCCATATGTCCTACATCGTGATCCCAGATATTTTAGGTATCCTCTTGAATTTAGACCGGAGAGATTTTTAGACAAAACAAAATTCAATGACAATCTAGCTGCATACATCCCATTCGGTCTTGGTCCCAGACTTTGTGTTGGTATGCGATTCGCATTGAATGAACTTCGTTTAGCTTTAGCAAATTTTGTTATCAACTACAAATTGGTTCCAAATCCAGATATCAAGGTAATAAATTGAAATTGATCATATAAAATGTAGCCTAATTTCATTTAAAAACTGTAGCTTGAATATTATAATGGAAGCATGTTGATGAGCCCTAAAAAGTTAATGGTTCGAATTCAACAACGTTGATATTTGATTTGTTTTTTGTCAAATTCCAATTCTCATCATCAATACATGACGAGTATCTAAAGATTTTTCTAATACCACGATAAATAAAGATCGTCAGAGTTCAAATCAACCAAGATCCCCTAATTATTCTATTTTTTTGATTTTTGAAATTTTGGATAAAATAAATTCTTTTTTTAAAATTTTGTTATATGTACCATTCATAAGCATCGTTTTCAAACCGGCTCACATGCGCAATAATGGACCGCCTATGATTTTTACCACGTTTCCATGATGTAGCGTTTCCTCTATTGTTTGTGTGTATGTTTGAGTGAATGAGTTGTTATTGGATTGATGATTATTCAATCGACAGATTCACAGCTTTTAAATTTTGTTATATAAAATAAAATTATTCAATCATGGCCGAATGGGATTTGACACCAGTGCTTGCCCAATATTTGGATCCACATTTTGTTTATGGTTTGCTTGAATTTTTGGGAAGTCAAGACGTATGTATTTAATATCGTTGAAAAAATGATCGATATGCTAATCCATATTTCATTGATAGATTTATGATCCAGAAGAAATATTTCAACATAAGGTGAAAATTTTGTCGAAAATTCAGCTCATCGATGCATTGATTGCATTGTATGAAAAACATGAACGACCGGTACCAGAAGAATTGAATAATAAACTGGAAGAATCGAACGAATTGCGTAAAAAATTTATTGAAGATTTGAGTGATGTATTAGAAACTTTAGCTAGTTTGAATGATCTGGATGAAAAACAATTGCAAGAAAGTATACAAGAGATTCGTAAAAAAGTAAGTTCTTGTTATAATTCAATAGATAAAAATTTTAATGCAAGACAATTCTAGTATCCCAGAGAAACAATCGACAAGCTATATGAATTTGCCAAATATTCATTCACTCGCGGTCAATACCAGGAAGCATTGGCTTTTATTAAATCGTACCAATTACTGATCGGAAATGATGATGCTAATTATGAACACACCTTATGGGGTTCGTTCGTTTCTTCATTCTTTTCACAAGACATGAAAGAAGCACAGGATATATTCTTCGCTTTGAAAAATTACATCGAAAATGCCAACTTTTCGCCTATGCAAGCATTACAGAATCGTACATGGCTTATTCATTGGGGTTTATTCATATTTTTCAATGTTGAACATGGCCGAGATTATCTGGTTGATTTGTTTCTCGATGCCAAAAACGCTAAACAATCGCAAAACAATGCCTATCTGAATGCGATACAAACATCATGCCCGCATATACTTCGTTATTTGACGGCCGCAGTTATCACACATCGACAACGACGAATCTACATGAAAGAACTGGTTCGTTTGATACAACAAGAATCGTACAATTATCGAGATCCAATCACTGAATTTGTCGAATGTTTGTACGTCAATTTCGATTTTGATGGCGCACAACAAAAACTGCGTGATTGTGAAGTTGTTTTGCGTATCGATTTCTTCCTCACATCTTGTATTGACGAGTTTATTGAAAATGCTAGACTTTTTATTTTCGAAATTTTCTGTCAGATTCACGAATGTATTTCGATTGAGTAAGTAAATTTATAATTTCAGGTATTTTGTAATTCAATTTTTTTCTTTTCATAAATCCATAAGAATGATCGCTGATAAATTAAATATGAGCAGTGATGAAGCTGAACGTTGGATTGTCAAATTGATTCGTGATGCTCATTTCGATGCTCGTATTGATTCGAAGCATGGCCATGTTATTATGGGTACACAAGCAGTATCACAATATCATCAATTGATTGAAAAAACACAACAAATGCGCTATCGAACTGAAATGTTGACGGTTAATGTTGAAAAGATTGCCCATAAAAAGCCAATTGATCGATCTATATGGAATTAGTTTGCTTAATCCAAAATTTTTTAAATAAAATAATGAGTATGTTTTAATATCATGAAATATAACATTTACAAAAATTATTAAATAAAATTCAAACAAATTCCCCGCAATTTGCAATTTTAACGCGTTTGTTCGGTTTTCCGCTTTTACTGCCACATTCTTCTATTTTTCGGACAATGTCCATTCCTTGCATCACTTGCCCAAACACGACATGTTTACCATCTAACCATTCTGTTCGGGAGGCGGTGATGAAAAATTGTGAACCATTCGTATTCGGTCCTGAATTGGCCATCGACAAGGTTCCTGCTCCAGTGTGTTTTAGTTGAAAATTTTCATCCTCAAATTTTCGTCCATAAATCGATTTTCCGCCTGTACCATTGTGATTGGTGAAATCACCGCCTTGGATCATAAAACCAGGAATGATTCTGTGAAATATACTACCGCGAAAACCGAATCCTTTTTCATGCGTACAAAGACAACGAAAATTTTCGGTCGTTTTTGGAACAACATCTTTTCGAAGCAATATGACAATACGACCACAGTATTGATTATCAACACGAATATCGAAAAATACTTGAGGATTGGTTTGCATCTTTTCGCTCAAACCTGCCGATTCATCTGCTGTGTCTTTTTCTTGGTCATCATTGTCATCGTCCTCATTTGGTTCCAAAGTTTCTTTTTTATCAATACTGAATTGAGAATCTAAAGTTTTACCGGCATGTTTAGCCAACCATTCATCATCAGCCCAAACAGCTTTTTGTGAAGCTTCACGAAGTTTAACTGGTTTTGCCAAATTAACTCGAATCGTTCTTCCAAATATTTCCGAGTCGTTCATATTATCGATGGCTGCTGCTGCATCTTCAGCCGTTTCAAATTCAATAAATGCGAAACCTTTATGTTTCTGAGTGATATAATCTATGGGCATGTTTACATCGATAATTTCACCGAAAGTGAGAAAAGCAGATTTGATAATTTTCTCATCCACTTCTTCTGACAATCCACCACAATATACCACTCGCTTATTGGCTGCAGCTAAAATAGACATTATTCAAAAAAAAACGATGATGATAATTTAAATTGTTAAATGAAATATTAATCAGGCCGATTGAAATTTCGATCATGCAGTTTATGAAGAATTCCTAAAGTATAGTTCTATCAAATATCACTAGATGACTGTACTGGAATGTGAAGAAATGGCTACTTTTTTCGGTCGATGGTCGATACAACCGAATTTTCAACCGATCCTGAGTGTGTCATTATTAAAACAGACGACAACAGTATTGTTCATTAGCGAGTAATTGTATTATCGGTTTCTAAAGGCTCAAATATCGATCAATAATTACATCAGTTTTTATTTGGCAAATTTAATTTATTCCCAAATTTTTCCATTTCATCATTATTGTATTGAATTCATTTGTGAGCATTTTTTATTTTTCAGCGATCTCATTCATTTGATTTTAACTTTTTTTTGAAGTCGTCTTAGGTACAACTATGGCATCATCATTTCAAAGTTTTTTCACTATTATCCTCTTGGCCACAACCACTTTTATTGTTCTGGATTTGAATAAAAATAATTCCTTCAATAGTAAGTATATTGACTCATTTTAGCCGATATTGTATGGAATAGTTATATTATTTTTATGATTCTTTTTTTTCTAAATTTCCAAGTTAATCTTTTTATTGTTTAACCTTTGTCAACATAGAATCAGCAACGGGTAAATATCTTAACCAAATTGGTGTTGGATCTCATGTACAACGATTCATTAACACAATTCAACAATCTGGAATCTATCGACAATATATTCTACCTTCTTATAATTCATTAATTCGAACATTGGCACCACATATCGCTGTTATACGTAAAGAAACAATTAAATATAGTGATCGTGTATCTGTTTGGTTTAAAAGTACTTTTCCATCAATGCTGCAAACGGTATGTCACTGTTTAGATGACTATACAAGAAAATCTAATTATTTATTTCTCAAAACAGATTGAACGGAAAATAATTCCAGCCGTTTCAGAGCATTATTCTCATTTCGTCACCTATACACAGCAATATTTTGATTTAACATATACAAAAATGCAGAAAATCAGTTTAATTACTGGTGAATGGATCAACCAAAACATTTTCAGCAAATTTCCACGCGATCAACTATTGAAAACATTCACCGAATTCGTTGAAAACACACAAAAAATGGCATATAATTCATATGAATATCTGACCAGTCAAATACAGAAATTCATTGCTGCATAAGTAATCTGAGATTTTTACTTTAAAAATTAGTGGTCTAACAAGCAAACAATGAAAAACAAAACATGATTGTCTTAACTGATTGTTGTAAATTGATTCAATTTTCAGTTCAAGTAACTGTTTTTACATTCCCACCTTTACATTTTTTTCTCGCGATTTGTCGTAATTCTTTCCATTTCGTGTACATACAGAGTTTGTTTTTCAATGAATATTATTAGTTTTCAGCGAATCATAATTTCTTTAGTAGAATCTCAATTAAAGTAGATGTGTACAAAATTATATAAAAGTCAATTCACTTTACATTAGAAAAGAATACATTGATCGTGTTAGCATAAAGTTGATCTGCTAATTTTTGTTCATCCATTTCTTTGATGGCAGCAATCACTTCTAAAACTTGTATTATTGTACAAGGTTCATTTCGTCCTTTGATCAATTTATCGGCTTTCCACTTTTCTTTTTTTGTTGATTCAAATTTTGTACGTATGAATTTATAACCTGCATGAGAAGGTTTGATTTCACAATAAGGACAATCGGTTTCAATCATCAATTTATCAATAGGTAATTTTCGAACAACTTCGAGATTTTCGGTCGTTTTCAATGAAAAACCATTCAAACCGATATAAAATCCCAAATCTATGAACGACATTGCTTCATCGTAATGGCCATCGAATGAATGTACAACACCTCCAGTGTATCGATCACGATTTTTCTTCAACAAAGACAATAAATCGGTGGCTGCATTACGACAATGCAAAAACAATGGCAATCGAGTTTGTTCGGCCACTTCAAATTGTTTGGTAAAATTTTTCAATTGAACATCTTTTGGGCAAAATTCTAGCCGATCATAATCGAGACCAAATTCTCCAACTGCAACAACTTTATCGGGATTATCATTACAAAGTTTTATCATCTCTTGAATTTTGACTTCGGTATCATCCTCTAATTCTAGGCAGCGAGTTGGATGAAAACCAACCGTGCAATAAAGAAACGAATCTGTTTGGGCTAATTCTAATGCTTGTCGACTATCATTCAATGAGCCACCAGTTATCATAATCTATTAAAAAGTTTTTTCTTTGATTAATAAAATCAATGGCAAGTTTAATCATACAAATAACTAACGAATACCTTTTCAAGGCCCATTTCCTTTGATCGTTTTATAACATTTTGAATATCTGCTACATGATGATTACGATTGTAGTAAATACCTTGAAACATGAAATCTAAAATTATGACAGTAATAAGTAATTAATTTCAAATCGATAACTAATAAATTTTTATAAACCTGTAAGATTGGCACCGATATCAATAAATTTTTTTCGAGACATTTTGAAAACAATTACATTTCCTTTCAATCATGTGTCAAGTTGGAATAACGAGACTATAGTGTCATCTATCATTGAAATTTTGACTTTTTATATTGTTCGCCTGTAATACCGTAATTTCACGCTTATAACCCAAAATAAAAGGCGATTCTTCTATTTTTGAGCATGCAAAAGGGGTATACGAAAGTGGGGTTTTGGGAGCGAAATTACGGTAATCCAGTGAGCAATGTTGAAGATTGAATGAGCTCACCATTATAACTCACAATAGCAAGTATACATGAGATTAGCGCATTATACATTTTATATTGAACCATTTACGAATTTATCTTAATTAAGTATCAAGAAAAAAAAGTTATCAAATTTTTAAAAATCCAAATAACGATGGGTGTTGAAGTACAAAAAATTTCACCTGGAAATAATGTAACATTTCCAAAAAATGGACAAAATGTTGTGGTTCATTATACCGGTATATATTGATCAATCATGATCATTCTATCATTTAATTGAATAAAACTTTATTTCAAATTTTAGGAACATTGGAAGATGGTGTCAGATTTGATTCATCAAGAGACCGCGGTCGTCCATTTAAATTCCGTCTTGGTCGTGGTGAAGTAATTAAAGGCTGGGATGTTGGCGTTGCTCAGGTTAGTCGGAATTAATTTTTTTTTAAATTACTAAAATATTTATTTTTCTTCGAAATAAGATGAGCCTTGGTGAGAGAGCTAGATTAATCTGTTCACCGGATTTCGCATATGGTAGTCATGGTCATCCTGGAATAATCCCGCCAAATGCTACACTCATTTTTGATGTCGAATTATTGGCAATAGAATGAAAATAATAATCATTATAAACTAAAAATAAATCCACAATCAATGCAGAATTGATTATTTCCATTCAAATATGCATGATCCTAAACAAATCTAGCCATAAACAAATTATAAAATCTAAATTAAATTCTAATCCACATACAAAGCGAGAATACACAAAATCAATTTTTAAATATTTTTTCTCATTTAATTCACAAAAATTTAAATTTGTATTTAGTGTTCATCAACAACAAAAATATAACACAACACTAAATTTAAATAACAAATATGATATTGAATAGGATTCAAAATCAATGGAATTCGAATGGAATTTTTTTAAAAAATGAGTCGGATTCATATTAATTGTTTATTATTTTAATTATTCGATGTCTTGTACCGGGTTTCCTTTTTTTTCTTCTCAGAACGATTGTGTAAGCCAATGAAAACGACTACCAAATTCATTAAAATTAGTCGACATTAGCTGACCCGATGATGGTTTCATATTATTCATAAGATTAGAATCATATGGTAAACAAATAGATGTCGAGTGTTTCAGACGATTTTCATTAATCTGCTTAATCAGTTGATATACCTCATCTTCTGTACGACAATTATGGAATGATGTTGGATGCATTGATACACCAACAATCGTACGGAAAACTTGACGCCGTAGTCGATAAAATATTACAGTGATACCGTCGTTTTTCAGATGGTTTACCATGTTTTTCATTCCCTATAACCCGGACTCATTCATGAATATCAATTGTCATTGAAGTGAATAAGAACTTACCAAAGCAAATGTTGAATCACTACGAAACATGTGTTCGCCATCCAATACAACAATCTTCTTGTGACTTCCCCTATGCTGAACTTTATTCAAACCTTGAAATATTTTGATTTGCATGTATTCAATCGATGAAAAGAAAATACTTCGATCTGGTTTTACATATAAAAATGGATAATTATGCGGTGATTCTTTCGTTATGGTGAATACATGAGGTCGTGTCATATGATATAATAAAACCATTATCGAGAAACCAATGCCAATCAATATGCCAAATTCAAGTCCAATAAACAAGGAAGAAGCTAAAGTAACGGCATAAGGAAGCAAATCGATTGGACTTGTTCGCCAAATCAGCAAACAATCACTGGGATGTGCCATAAAAATTACCGATGTTATGATGATTGTAGCTAAAACGGTTTCGGGTATGTTTTCAAAATATCCCGATAGTGTTGATAATGCAAGCAGAACTAATGATCCAGTTATCATATTACCGGCAGGTGTTCGCGCCCCACTATTGTGTTGCACGGCTGATCGTGAAAAACTTCCTGTAGCCGGAAAAGCGCCAAAAAATGAGCCCAAAATATTACTCAAACCAAGTGCGATCATTTCCTGCGTTGCATCCATCCGAGAATGTTCTGATTTGAAAGCATTGGCCACGGCTACTGATTCCATAAGACCAACCAATGATAGAACAAAAATACCGGTTCCAATATCTTCGTAAACTTCCTATTAGATTTGAATTTGATTCTTTTAGCTAAAATGACATCATCCGAAAACTTACACTGAATGGCTTGATCACATTTGTTCCATTGGTTACTGAGAATTCTGGCCATTGAAATGAAGGTAATCCTGGAGTAATCTGACGTGTTAATGTAAAAATATTACCGGTAATTGTTCCATCTTTGTCGACATTTTGGCCATAATAGATTGCTATCAATGAACCGAAAAATAAAGCCATAGCATTACGACCAATAATCAGCAATTGAAATATTGAATTCAATATTTTCGAAATCGGTATACTTTTCCAGTTCATATCAGGAAATCGATGATCTTTAAACAGTTGGAATGGTAACAAAAATAGCAGACATAATGTCCCAAGAATAACATCATAGTAATTGGTTTCGCCAAGCGTTGAGAAAAATTTTGAAAAGATTCCCGGCAAACGACTAGCTGTATAATGTAGGCCAAAAAAGCCTTTCAATTGTGATGCCGATATCGATATAGATGCAGCTAATGAAAATGCTGTAATCACTGGAAATGATATGAAATCGACGATAAAACCAAGGTTAAGAAGTCCGGCCAATAATTGAATACAACCGGCAAAAAATGCTAGTAAAATTGAGTATTGTGGTCCACCAATCAACACATATGGTAAAACGATCATGGATAAAATTGATGTTGGTCCGACAGCCATATCCTTACAACTGCCAAGCACTGAATACACAAAACAACCCACGAAAGATGTGTATAATCCATATTGTGGTGGTAAACCGGCCAGACTTGCTAATGCCAAGCCTTGTGGAACTATAGTGAATGCGACAGATATTCCTGAAATGATATCACCCTTTAGATCTTCCAATGTGTACGCAGGAATCCAACGAAGCGGCGGTAACAAGCGATATAATTTTCGTTTCGTGAAATATCGATTCTTAATCCATAATCCACATTCTGCTAATGTTGGATCATCCGGTTCAACATATAGCGACATATCTGAGAATTTAAAATTTTATATTTTGTTTTGTCAACAATTTATGTGTCAAACCTGTAATGGCATTCTTTGCTTCATCAATCGGTTCATTGCTATCATCATCATCGTTTGTAAATAAACTTGAATTTTCTGAATCATATGTCTTGGAATTGGAAAAGCGATTACCACATAAATATTCATATGAATCTCGTCGTCGTTTTTTTTGATGTGATTTTTTATTCGAAAACATTCTTGTAGAATTTCATTCACCATTCATCAATGGAAATGAATTGTGATCACAAAAAGATCTTCACTTTCAGTAAGAAAAAGCATTTGGTAGGTAGACAATAATTTAGTCGAAAAAGGTCTTAGATATATTTGATTGTGTTGATGGGTGATAAAAAAATGTGTATCATCCAAATTTCTTGATCATTGATTGATCGAGAAAAATTATCATTCAATCGGTCGAATAATGTGCCACAGAGATTTATCTAATCAAACAGACAAACTTACATACCCACACTTGATAATATAATAGATAAATAGAAAGCAATAATGTTATCATTCACATCGTTAATGTTGTTTGGGAGAGTTTGAACCTTACTATCCTTATCACTCTCAACAGAAAATAAAAATATCATTGATTTATCAATATACTCCAATTTTTGAATTTGATTTCAATCTCTAAATTAATCTATGGTTTTTCCGTCGTGAGCTGAATGTACCCCTATTCTAATTATTATATATTGATATAATCGAAAAAATATGTTATTTTAATAACGGAAGTTTTTTCATTGTCTTATTGTTTATTTAAAAAGTTTATTTCTGATAATATCAAGTAATTTTTTGTCATCATAAACAAATAGATATGTACATTTATTTACTATAGTAGAAAAATTTTATTATCATGTCTTGGTGAGTTCATTTATGTATGATTGAATTGGTTTGCGTAAGTGTAGCCGTTTCACGTTCAAATGATAATAGCCGTATACGTTGATTGCTACCATCAACAAACGCAACAGTAGATCGACTGGACTTTGGTTTCGAGCAAGAAAATATACTTATACATCGATTCGAATAACGTAGGTCAAAGCCATCATCGTTGGTTTGCAATGAATGTGAACGTATTAGATAATGAAAATTATATGAACGCATAAAATTCTGAAATGCTTGATGATCAAATGAACATGAATTAACGAAGTCAGAATGTTCTGAGGCCGTAAATCCTGTAACACCGATCACTAGATTGGCGCCCAATTTTTTGTGAGGCATTTTTTTCGAACTCTTCGAATCCAATGATGTATGTTTCAAGCTTTTTGATTTACCCGAGGATTCTTTTGATGCAATTCCAGAGCACAAACAGTCATCCATACCATATGGTGTGTTAACCAATAATTCATAAGCGATCGGTGCTTCTTTCAGCACAGAAAATACATCATGACCTAGTTGATTGATCTTGTCTATTTTATTCCATTTCGGTATGCCCGAATGACAGCAGAATATATTCTCATCGATAATCACTCCAAATGGAAGTCTAGCAAAAATTTCTGATATAACAGCAAAAATTTTCTGTCCAAAATCTGGTCCATATTTCTGTAAACATTCTTGTAGTAGGATTCTTCGACTTTTCGATTTCATTTCATTCGTACCACGTAATAAAAATACCTTGTTTGGTAGCAATAGTTTAAGGGAAAACAGATAGGTGATCATTTCTACACCATACGATCCGATTCCACTATAATTGCCAAGAAAGACTAGATTATATGGTGTTACAGGGAATCCTTGAAAGTAGATCTTTTCCAGTGTGAACAAATCGTTCAAATTTCCTTGCATATCTCCAACTACGATTGCCGGTGAATTAATTTTGATCAATTTATCTTCAGACATCAAAAGTCCTTTCAACTCTTCACATAAAATATTGACATAACGAGAAAAAATTTTCCAATCTTCGCGTACAGCCATCAATCCTATCAGTTGTTGATTGCCTTCTATTTTAGTTTTATTGTAAAAATCTTTTATCAAATCTATGAATATATTTGGCACGGAACTGTTATTGAATGTAAAATCCATTGAATATTTATGCTGATTCATTTCGTTATCCAATGCTGGCTCGATCCATTCTAAACCAAAAAAAAAAAAAAATTTTTTTTTAAGTTTTTTTTACAAAAAATACTAACGTTCAGGGATGAAGGTTGGGG